ACCGCCCCCCTTCTGGCAGCAACAGGCCCCTTGAGTCCGGCCACTGAGGCGCGCGGGATTTCACCACTTCCGGTCGAACGGTTGGTCCTTGGACCATGCCTGAATGAATGGCGAGCCAGCCGGACGTTCCAGACGGTGTAATCAGGGTGTGTTTGGTTGTCACTTTGCCTTGAGCCAGCATACACGCAGGCAAATGATGGCGTGCTTCAGCTTGAGACTGCAAATAAGCCCGAGATGACGAGTGTTTTCATCTTTTAGGGGAGGGGGAGGGGGAGGGGGAGGGGGAACAGGTGCCCAAAGAAAGTTGTCTTGCAGAACACAGACCAAGCACCAAGCATGGACGAAGTATCCGCACCGTAGGAAAAGTACTTGTTATTTGGAGGGAGTGAACCAACGTGGGGTTACTGCTTATTGTCTTGCATGCCACGCCGGAAAACTAACGCTAACAACAACAAAGTGCCTCTCTTGTTTTGTGAAACAAAATACATCAACTGTGGAAGGCGCAGTCCGGACACCCCAACCTTCTGTCCCAAGGAGGGAGAACCGGTACTTTCCGTTTCTTGGACGAAACGGCAGGAACACATCTGTTGTCAATTTTCTGTCAACACAAGATATTCAACGCTGTGCCCGCCGTAAATCACAAGCATATTCTTCGCGTGTAGAGACCAAGCAGGGCCGTATTTCTTCTCTTTATGCAAAAGCCACGTTTGCCGCCGTCACACGTTCAGCACCTAACCTGTCCACCGTCCGATACTCTTCATTACGACGGACCTGGGTTGACTTCGTCCTCACTATCATGGCCATACGCCCAGCGGCGAGTTGTTTGAATCTGAAGGCCTTGGGACCCAACTAGCTACTAAGGAACGCCGAGCTCAAATTCAAAGCGATCCGAAGCATGCTACCTGCCGTACCGGGTCGGGTCAACAGCTCCACCTACTGGTTGTTTTCATTGAAGACTATCCTGATTCCGTCTCACAACCCTCACCGACCTAAAGGATCAGCTAGACAATTAGTTGGCAGATACACAATCTTCGGCATGGGATCTTCGCAGACACTGTACGCATGGAATGCACATGGGACCGATCAGCTTAATCCAGCCGCTTGGATTATCGCTACGGCCTGGCGGGATGGATTCGTCACCCACAAAGATTGGACCTGCTCTACCACCCCCTCTATCTTTGTTCGTCATATCATCACACACAGCGTATACTAGCGCTACGTACAGCGTGTATGGTATTATAGCGCACACACACACACACATAGAGAACCACCTCCTCAAATCGCAAACGGTGCCGCTCCCAGCCGCTCCCCCGCCCCACCACCTTAACACCTGACGCTACGGCACAGGAATCTATGCTTGCACAATAAAGTAATTTGTATGCATGCCCTACGGGGAACACCCATTCATCCAGTCCCCATATGCTTGCTCGTGGCTTTGGTTCTGCCCGCCCAATGCTAGTCGGGTTCCTGCTAGGATGACGAGAAAAGCCATCCTTTTCCGTCTGGTCCCCCGTCGTGGTGAGCTCGTTCTTTTGGTTGCCAGCCCTGTTCTCCTAACCCGATCCCGTCCTTCGGTGAGGATAGGGGCTCATTGTTAGAGGGATCCTGGGCTTCAGAGTTTTTTTTTTTTTTTTTTTTTTTTATATTGACTTCACAAAGCACAAGCAGCCATCAGCGCACCCTCCCAGGTCATCCTCCACCTCCCTGATATGGCCAAACCACCCTAATCCTCATTCTGTCCACAATTACAATAGCGGCTAGAAACATCGCACGGCACAATCGCTGGACAACAGGGCATGCATACACTGACAAACTACACAACGTACTTGGAGGCTTCCGGCTGCGACGATGAAAATGGCCATGTTTTATTTTGTTATTAGCAGTGCATGGTTCACACTACGGAACTAGCTCACAACATGTAATACAGGCGTCAAAAGGTACGGAGTCCAAGCCTATATTAAAAGTCTACTTGGAGGGAGATGCGGCATTTGAAGCGCCTGGGTGGCCTCGGCTCTTGCTAATACTGCTGGAATTCTCGGCCGGCTCAAAGACCGCTGTTGCACCTTCTTCGGCATAGATGGAGGCCAAAAACGAAAATCACGGCTTATCCGTATCTGTCCTGTGTCTGGTACGGATATTTAGCGATCATGCTCCGGCTGCAAATAACATGACCCGAATCATGCTGGTCTGGTTCAGGTACCGGACGTGAACAACGAGAGTGACGCCTACTAGTATACGGGCGCTGATCTCATAGTTGCAGGCATCAGACATGATCGGACCGGCTTTCTTCTCTCTCTTCATCGGACTGTCTTGCAGTCATGGCTCGGCCAGCTTCCTTCTGACCTCCGCCAGTTCGCAAGCCCCGATGATAGTGGGTGGCATTTGATGTCGATGAATTGTGAGACGGAACATGAAAACAGCGAGCCCGTCATTGAATTCCAACAACGTCTTCATTCCTTTTGCTGCTGGGCGCCTCTTTTACGCTGCCCGAGACCTGTTTTTGGGGCGACCTGGCCGGGCCAACATACCAACCTGGCCTGGTCTATCCCAACCTGGCATGGCATGGTATGGTGTTGCAGTTTTCACGGCCAAATCTACAGTTTAGGACACAATTTGCGGTTGGTGCCCTCCCGATGCCGTCACAATGCCATGCTCTTATACCGCATGGGGCTCATCCTGCTAATGCAGATAATCCAGGGCATCTGCTGCCACGCTTGTTGCCATGCCTGAGCAGTAGCAGGATCTCGAAGACTCGTGCTAAATTACAAGGATGCATAAAGAAACCCGAAATAATGAACAAAACAAGCCAACAGGACCTGACGGCGCACGGTTAGAGAGATCGACAGCGTCTCGGATATCTGTATCGGATGCATAGACGGTTGCTCGCCTTTTTTTCTCACAACAGTATATAGATACACAGACGTAATTCTCACAAATAAACACACACACATACACACATGCTTAACGCGCCAACCGTAGGCCTACCACTACTACGGCTACTCTTACCACGACATTTATGGCACGAGCGCACACACAACTAGTTACAAGCAAAACCCTTGTCAAGGGTGCCACACGACAAGCAGATGCTCGATGCATGTGAGGGCCACGGCCCCACTCATATCGGGGAGGTCTCCTTGAGCTTCCCAGCATGGTTTGGGCCACCCACGAGGCTTGCGTATCGATACCTGTGCGAGACCAGGCCCCTTCTGGACGCCATCTGGGCGCAGGGGACAGGGATCTTTGTGCTTTGTGCAAGACAAACGTGCTAAGTATACACTACCACTCAAGCCGGGAAATAAGAAACGTGAACAGCGCCCATGCGTGCCCAAAAAAAACCCCCGAGTAGGCTTCGGCGGTCCCGCTATTTGCGCCCATGACGCTGCCACATCGCAGAGAATGACAAGGTGATGGGTCAAGAATTTTAGTACGGACGCAAAAGTTAGGCCGAGTCGAGTATACCTGAGAAGGAAGTACTTTTCTCGCCTAGCTGTCGATACTGACGCCAGACCCCTCTCCCCCATGCCCCATACCGTGTGTGCTCGAAGGCGTGGGCTAGACAGGGGGGGAGTGGACTGGCAGCGGCACCCCAAAAATGCACGGTTACAGGCACTCGATCGGGCCACTCCTGCGCTACATTCAAGGTACCAGCCCGAGGCGCCTTGTCAGTGGTAGCGCAGCGCTACACTGCCTGCTTGCTGCCTTACGATCTTTACCTTAATTCTTGGGAGGGTTGAGTGAGAAGGATATGGCAGTAGTCATGGTGATTGTGTTTGGGGAGGGACAAATGGATGAAAGGGAAGAGGGGAAGAGTGAGAGAGAGATGGGTGATGGGGTGGAAATTGGTGATGACGGGTAACATCACTCAGTGGCAGTATCATCAGCAGTGGCTTAGAGAGAATGTACTACATAGTGTGTACCTTCACAAAGGCAATGGATCTTTACTTTCCCCTCTTCCCCATTGCCCTGGCAGGCATTCTCTCTTGTGCTGGAAAGCCAAAGCTAGGGCCACTTAGTGTTCAAGTTGCAGTGTACGGAAACCTGCCTATCCCGCTGCACTTTGTATTTTTATTTTTACCGCCCTCTAATTTTTTCTCTGGAGCGCCTGCTCTCCCCTCTCTTGATGCTTTGCCCCTCTAAAAGAGGAAGTGAGTGGGAAGGTACAACCATACCTAGGTTGGCAGGCTGAGTTCCCAGTAACTTTACCCTCACTCCCCCCTACCACCCCCCCTGGTCCCAAGAAACCCTGTGTGTCTTGCCCTGTCCTTGGCTTGAACTGTGCAATGGTGCCTCCCCCCAGTACACTGACGGTACGAAGGCCGCCGCCGCCTCTGTCTCTGTCTCGCTTTTTTCTATGGTCAAATTCTGGCTCTGGCTCTGCGCCTGCGTCTGCGTCTGCGTCTGGCTCTCCTGCTCAGGCCAAGTCATCCTAGCGCTGCCGCTTGTTTAATTCCATCTTATCCCCTCCACCCCCAGCTCTTCCCAGTCTTGAAACCGACTGCCTCGAGCCCGTCTTTCTCCTCTATTCGCCCACGCCGACCTAAGGACTTCGCTAGACCTCTCCTCCTTGTTTCCTCCGTCCAATTTGACCTCCTCACCTTTCACCGTCATCCTTCACAAACTCACCCTCAATCCTCGCCCTCGCCCTCGTCCTCGACCGCCTTTTCCAATAATTACCTCCAATACCACACGCTCTTTAACCCCTCCACCTTCTACGAACCGAACAGCCTGCGATTATTAGACGCCTGTTTTTTTTTCTTCTTGAGAGAGGCTTGCACGTGTTCGCATGTTCAGCGCAATCGTGTCCCGGGCAATCTGATTGTTCGCAACCGGGTCTGCTGAATATCCCCTCCCAATTAAACTCTTCCGCCTTTCTCCCCGGAATTCTACGCCGTCCTTGTTCGAAAAGCCGTCGACAGAATTTCAGAGCCTTATTCCTCGTCGCGTGTGATTGTCATTACACCCACCGCTCATTCCTCCCTAAATCTTTGTCGACACGCATCATGGAGACTCAGCGGCCTGTTTCCCAGAAGTTGCCTGCAGGGTTGGCAGGGGTGTTGAACCCGGACGAAAACCGTGATTCGGCCTACTTCTCCAGTACAGATGCTTCGAGCAAGCGTATGTTGACTGCGGAGTCACTGAAAGGTGGTGTGACGACCATTTAGCTAACTCACTCATCCACAGACAACTCTGCCGCCTCTTGTGTGGGTAACGTCCTTAGTCCTACCGGCTCAGGATACCAGTCCTCCTTGGCCGACAAAACGCCCTCGCCTGTGACTGCGAATCTTGTTCCCCAACCGCTAGTCTCGCCCGCCCAAAGCAACATGAGCGTCGCCTCAATGGTCTCGCCGACGACACCTGGCAGTGCGGACCCCCGCCGATTCGACCGTCCAACTTCCTTGGAATCGGGCCAGCAACTGACCGCTCACGACCATATGGGTCTTGGATCGCGAAGAGAAAGTGTCGACAGCAGGATAAATCAGGGTTTTCACGAGATGAGGCTGGGCGGCAATTCTCCCTACGCAAGCCATAACCAATCTACAGCGTCTATACAAAATACCCTCAACCAGCAACGGAACCCACGTCCCGGTCTGGATAATCTATCGGTACACCGCATCTCCAACGGCTATCAGCCAAGTAATGACAGAAATCCTGACCCTAATCCCAAGATCATTCGAACCGCCCCCGCCATTACTGGCCCCGCGACAAGTAACATTGCTCGGGCCGCCGAGCCGACTAAGGGTCAAGCCTGGGCCTTTCCAGAGGAGGAGATTCAGCGGATTGGCCCCCATGACGCCTATCTCGACTCAAGGCGTAGCAGCATTGCCGAGTCTATGGCCAGCAGCCAATTTACCACCGAATCGAGACTGCCTCCCGGCCAGAGGCGTTTGGACGAGCCTGCCGACTACAGCAACCGCCTTTCAAGCACATCATCCGACTTTCCTCCCGTACACCATCACTCGTTGCAACATAAGCAAATAGGCGATCTTCGCGACGATGACGCTGCGTCACGAACTGGTTCCCAACCTTACAGCCGCACGCCCGAGCTGCGTAAGAGCCACAAGTTGGCGGAGCGGAAGAGAAGGACGGAGATGAAGGAACTTTTTGACCAATTGCGGGATTTGATGCCCCAAGAACGGGGCTCCAAAGCCTCCAAGTGGGAAATTCTCACAAAGGGTAAGTTAAGTTGAGTATGTCTGTCTCGTTGCAATGCCTCTGACCCATGCCTTTGTAGCGATTTCCGAGCATCAGCGAATGTCAGAAGTCATTCGCATTGTGCAACAGCAAAATACGACAGTGGTCCAGGAAAACGACGGGTTGCGGCAAGACAATCATAATTTGCGCGTTGACATTCAACGCCTTCAAAACGAGTTGCACAATCTGCGACTACAACAGCCGCCAACGGCCCAGGGTCCTCCCCAAACACAACAAGTAGCGCCACCGCCTCCGCCACAGGCCTCTTACCAGACTAACCCCTACGCCAACCGACGCGAGTTACCGCCTATCAGAGGCTTAAACGGAGCGATCCCCAACGGCCCCGACTCAATGACTGGTGTTCAATATGAAGCACCTAGGATTAATGGATACCGCCCTGCCGAGAGATACTAGAGCTGGCGGTGAGAAAAGAGACATGAGTGCCAGCCAGACTTGCTGTGCTTTGGCCCGCTCCTTCATAATGGTCTCTGCTACCTGCGAAGGCGTAAGCCGCACCAGTCACCCTCGATTCTGGCACGCATTAGACGAACCGACGATTACCGAATTGGTCTAAACTCACCAAAAGGCTTTGTCTTCACATCTTATCCCGCAACCTTTCACCAACAGGTTTGCGTGTTCTATTACAGTTATGTACCTTTTCTGGGGAATGCTCCTCGTCTCGGAACACCTTCTAGAGACTTGTTTCTTTTTGTTTGCCTCTTGTTGAGAGTGTCCACACCAGCTATACGCCAACGGCTCGCATTCAGTTGGACCGAGCCTCCAGTATGATACGGGCCGCGAGGTACGGCCCGATACCCTCGCCTTTTGCCGATGGATAAAAAAAAAATCAGACGGCGTCTTTTTCTTTTTCTTGTTATTGGTATTTTCTTGTATGTTTGGGATTGCAAACATTGACACGGGGTTATGGGCGGGTTCGGTGTGAAGAGTCCGGTGTGTATATACCCACGCGTTGGTCCTTGGGAAAGCAATGTAAGCTTTGGTCACCAGACATGGTCCATCGCTTTGCGTCGGGAAGAAAAACAAAAGTTATGGGGGGGGGAACCATGGGGACAGGTTCGATGATTTGATGTTTAAATGGATTTCAAACAGTCTGGACCGGCCACAACGGAGGACAGACCGGTGATGGTCGAGTGTGTACCCCTCAGAGACGAGCTTGGGCCTCTCTCTCTCTCTGTCTCTCTCTCTGAAAGCAAGTAGTCTTTTGAGCTACGAGTCATAATCACCTAGATGAATCCAAGACCATTGAGTCGAGCATATACATACAGGATAAATGTGAAGACAGGGTTTTTAATATGGAGTGAAGAAAAACTGCTGATGACTGGTCGAGACTCTGCCGACAGGGATGGCCAGGTGGCGGCTCCGGATACCCACTCAGAGTTGCTGCGCTAACGCCTAAATAAGCTTAGTGTATCTGTGACCTGAAGACCCTCGTCACAATCATCCAAAATTTCTGTCCGAAGCTCATTCGGCGGTTTTTCCATCTGCTCACTTTCGCCATCATCAACCCTTTCTCCTTTCCACCCCCTTCATCAACCCATCAGTCTTCAGGATGTAAGTTTGTCCGGTATTCTTTGTATTGATATGTGTATCAAAGAAGGAAGAAAGGAAATCATGGTCTTAACAAAGTAAAATTGGAGCTAATTGAAACCTCTTAACCGTAGGCACTCCCTCCGTCGCGCGGCCACCCGCGCCAGCTTGGCAAGCGCCATCTCTACCGCTACCACTGCCGCGCCCAAGACGCAACCCATCACCTTCGCCCTGCGCTCCGCCAACGTCGGGCGATGCTTCTCAGCCGCCGCGACGAGGGCCTTCTCTCGCTCTGTCGTTCTGCGCGATGAGCAGCAGCAGACCCAGCGGCCACAGCAGCCCCAAGAGGGAGAGGCTCCCGCTGCCTCGGAGCAGCAATCGGTCGAGGTGCCCCCGCCGAGCCAGTTCTGTATCTTCGTCCAGAACTACCCCTTCAACGTCCCTCGCGATGACCTTGCCGAGGCATTCTCCAAGTTTGGTGAGGTTGTCCATATTGACATGCCCCCGAGAAAGACGTAAGTTCCCCGATTTCATCTCCCAGCACCGACGCTATCTATACGCGATTTGAATGAGGAGCAGGCTGTGTTAACATGATCTTGAACCACACCAGTTTCTGCTTCGTCTACTACAAGCACGCCGACTCAGTCTCTCAGGCCATAGAGAACGTCGACGGGACCTTCTGGCACGGACGCCGCATCGCCGTGAAGGAGAGCACGCCCAAGTCCCGGATATATACGCCGAACCAGCGCCGTGACAGCCGCAACCGCACCGGCTCCACCGCGCGCGCCAACTCTAAGGCGTACGACGGCCCGCCGACGAACACAATCTTCGTCGGCAACCTCTCCTTCGACGCCACAGATGTCGACCTCAACCAGCTCTTTAGCATCCTGAAGGACGTCAAGGACGTCCGTGTGGCCGTTGACAAGTCTACCGGCTGGCCTCGCGGCTTCGCACATGCCGAGTTCCATTCCCCGGAGGCGGCGCAGGCCGGCATTGATGCCCTGCAGGGCCAGAGCCTTCGCGGCCGCCAAGTCAAGGTCCAGTTCGCACCCGAGATGAGGAACAGGCGTCCTCGCGGGCAGGATACCCAGCAGGAGGTCGAGGCTGCTGCTGTGCAGGAACAGGAGCAGAAGAAGAACCAGACCATGGACTGGAACGCGTAAATGAGGACGCGATGTGGGTTTCTCTCGCATACATCACCAATGATTCTCGAGAGGACAACGTGTATAACATGATTTACTCGGACATATTTGTCTTGGATGTGTAGGATTATTCATATCGCGCGGAAGGAGGGGCGGTGGCTCTTTACGTGGGAGCGCCATGAACAGAAGGAAGCATTAACAGTCGATGTCTAGCCCGATGCTTCAGTGAGGGGAGGAGGTCAAGGAGGGGTCAAACGGCAGAAAACAGAATCTGTCATATCCCCGAAGGGAAAACAAAGGATTCAAGCTAGTAGCATGTAACAACAACCATGTAGAGAGGGGCCACGGTCAGTTTTTACGCGCACACGTATTAAAAAAATATAATAATCTCCCATCTTTTTTTTTTTTACCCATCTTCAGAAGGCAATGGCCACTTATTTTGGAATTCTCCCCGCCCCCCGTCACCCAGGCGGAACGAACGCCGGACACATCTCTTTCCCGGAAGTCATGGGAACCCAGAGCACCAGAGGGGGGAGATGGCCGAATGTTTTTTTAGCATTGTCGGGCTTGTCAAACGGTCCCGTCTCGCCCCTGGTACCCGGTCTTCTTTCTGTGTTGATCTCATGATGTTTGCCCCTTGGGCGGCATAGCGAAAACCACGGGCCACCCAGCCCATCCCAGGCCCTCGGTGCCGGGCCAGAGCTCCTTTTTGACGGCGAGTTCCCACGCCATGCCGTGTGCCATTTTCCCCTTCGGCCGGGGTTCCGAGTCAGTTTTTTTGAGCCGCGTCAACGTCCGCCCCGCCCCCCGTCCATGCACCTTTTTTTGTTTTTTATTATAATTCTTTCCCCACAACATGCACGTTTCCCTTAAATGAAGCGGGAAAAAGTTGTCACCTGACAAGCACGTTGAAGATGGGTTCCCGCCGCTTGTCAAAACGACCGGCGTCGCCGTGTACTCCCCTCTATTCCCCATGTTCGCGCGTGGTGGTGGAGCGAGCCCGTCTTTCCAAACACTGGTGGACCCCGTAGCCGGACCGCACTCCCACGCCCCCCCCCCCCCCCCCCTTCCTGCTGAACAGTTTCTCCCGCCTGGGAACCATTTACCCTTTTCCACTGGTTCCCGGGTGGAAACCGAGAGTTTGTGATGTGGAGACATGCACTGGCGCGCATCACAAAACCCACCAAAAACAAAAAATAGTACCTTAGTGTGTAGTGAGACGGGGAAAAAAAAAAAGTCCCATTTTTCCCAAGGGGAAAAAAGAAATTGATGTTCTTTGACCAGCCTGGGGGTCGAACCCAGAATCTCCTGATTGCACGATTGAATCGTAGTCAGACGCCTTGCCATTGGGCCAACCGGCCGTTGTCCTGAGGACTCGAGCTTGTTTGCTTGTGGAAGGTTCTCCGCAACGGTCAATATGAAGCTGGGATGAGAGGAGGCGACGTCCCTGGCATTGTAGCCCAGTCGTGTGGTTGGCGGGTCGGCCGGGTCGAATGGACTTCTTTTTTTCGCCGAGTTTGGTCCGTTGTATGCGAGTTGTATACTCGACAGGTGATGGCTAATCTTGCCTACCGAGCCTTTGTCTGATGACGTTTGGTTTCACCTGCTGTGGTTGAAGACATGCCGGAGTTGGTTACGGCATGTCTACCCTCTGTGTACATTTTCCTTCTGTCCAAGAGGTGTTGTGTCTGAGACTCGGCGTGGGAGTCGCCCTCTGTCTGGCGCTGACTTTGAACATAAATGAGAGTTGCGGTCGAGCGGAACGTTCAGTATTGTACTGGTGTCCTGCTGAATATCCGACGTCTGCAAATTTGATTCGAGATGAGCAGTTCGCCGCATTTCCGAATATCCCAAGTAGTGGTTCTCAGAGATTTCACACCCCCGAATGGCTCATCCGCATCGAGTGATATTGCGACTCGAAGTACCTTGTCCAAAGGTCGCTTTCACTGTCACTGCAGAGCCCGTGGAGTTCATCGATCTTGACAATATTCCTTAGTCTGGAGTGACGTTGATGTTCCTCTGGTGGCTGTTACCGGTAACGTCCTTTAGTGTATTTCAACCACTGCTTGCTGGAGAACCCACGTAGACGCCATTGATGTTGTACTTGCGACCGACAGACCTGGCTATACGGCTTTGATGGTGCAGCAGGGTCTTGTTTGAGAGACAGCAGGTGAGCATGAACAGAACCTCGATTTCTGTGTCGTGGTAGTTGAACAGCATCTACTGCCGTTGTTGGTGTCGACTATCTTGAGTCGAGTTGCAGCCTTTTTGAGGACTTCTTTGCCTTGATTGTATTTGAGAATAGAAGATGGCTTAAGAAGACGAGCATGTTATCCGCACGCCACATCTAGCCACGGAAGAGAGAGCGGCTGCGCTCTTAGAATCATTGACATGAACTCTGCAAGCCTGCTTTTGGTTGGAGACCAAATCTCCTCGTCAAGTATCGCATGTTTGACGCATCCATTTCTCGACGCAGACTGCTGGTTCTTTAACATGAGCTCAAGCCAATTTCTGGAACATTTTGAGCTGTCGAAATGCGGTAGAGAAACCGGGTCTCGGGGGCAAATGAGCGCTTACTTCCATTGCGAATAAGTAAACGAATGCTTCGCTACATGTTTGAGCCATTCTGAATGGTCCAGCGGCCAATGGCATTTGAAGACTTGGTCAGCCCGTGTTGCCGTAGCCCAAGGCCTCGGGTGGCCCGGGTTGGGCAGACCGTAACACTCTTCACGGCTCCGAATGAACTATGCACTATGAATGCGACGCCTCAAATTTCCTCTTTGAACAGAGACAGCCAGCTCCGGACATTGGTTCCTACACTGTTTGGAAATGGCCTGCTGGCTGGGGAACCACATGTTGGGTGCCGTATAGGTCTAGAGGTTGTACCATCAGTTAGTGCAAAGGAACAGATATACCAGTTGGGGTAACAAAGCCTGAGCGGGCGTCGTAGAAGTTGATGTCGGAAGAGAGGAATGGAGACGCATTGAATGTTGGTATTGAGCGTTGCAACATTGATGTTGAAGAATGGTTGTGAGATAAACTTACTGGCCACGTTTCTCTAGCTTTGGGAGGCAGGATGAAGCTCTGAGAGGGGGGCGACAAGGGAGTTTGACGCTATCGCCCGATTATGGGCAGATTCAAGCTCGAGGTGAATGCTCTTCCTTTTTTGTCAAAAGTTTTTTTCGGAGAACAACAAGTACAGTTATGACTGAGATCGCCAAGTCCTAACTGGAGGATGCGATGCAGTTGGGAATGTCGAGGCAATCGGCCTCAACAGAACCCGCCCCGACGGGAACGGAGCCCGTGGGCCGGAGAACCTCAGCCAGTTCAACCCCACTGTAAGCTCGATGTTTACACCGCCTGCAGCAACAAAACACGGTTCATTCTCAGGGCAGTCCAGCTGGCAACACGGGGCTCGCAACCATCACCCCCCAAACAGTTTATAACCTTTGGAAATCTCGCAGACTCGGCTGGCATCATTTGAGGGCCCACCAAAACAGTATTCGCCTCAAACTATTACAGCAAAAAAATGTCAGTCCAGCTGTCATGAGCTAGTCGAATCGATCTCTAAAGACCGCCCTCAAATAAGAGAGCTTGCGGGACCGCCGCCTAGAACACTTTGCGGTTATACCCGAAGGATTTTAACCCCTGCGTTGAACCTGCCTGACGAAACTCGCTGTCACAACCGCGAGTTTCCCTGCATTTCATATATAACCAGTGCTAGAAACCGACTGTAATCGGCATACAACACTGACCCGTACGCCTGGTAGAGCTTGAATCAGCAACTATGGGCTTCGTTTTGCAAACCAGCGTCTTATTCGCTGTCGTCATCGCTGTGGGCCTGCAGCTCATGCTGAAGGACCCTATCAAGCTGGCATTCGGCCTCGGCAAGACGATCCAGCCTCTTTCTGACTTCCCCTATGATTGTCGCCGGATTGAGGACCCCCGGCTACAAGCATGCGAGGACATGTGGTTGTCGGAGTCGACACGCCAGCTCTTCCTGGCCTGCTCTGACTCCTTGGCTCGCCAGCGGTGGATGCCCAAGTAGGACTTCCTGGACACATCCCAAGTCAGTTCGTAAGGCCGATTACTGACACTGTCAGCGCCCATCAATTTAACGTCTCTGGACGCTCGACTCGAGATGCCATAGTTGCTCTTGACATTGATAAGCCCAAAGGCGATGCGTTCGAGTATCGCACTCTCTCAACCCCCGGCTTCACAGGCACTGCTGGCGATGGCTTGCTTCAACTCGTGGGCTTTACGGGTATCGATGCTCCCAATGGTGACCGGGTGGAGCTTCTTGTAGTCAACAACCGGCCGCCAATTGACCCTGCTACTGGCGAGGTACTCGATGAGGCGCACGAGGGCGCCAACTCCACCATCGAGGTCTTTGAGACCGGTCCTTTGGCCACGGGGCTGAAGCATATCCGCACGTTAGCTAATGCAAACATCTCTAGTCCTAACAGAATAGCTGCTCTTTCCAGCACTTCCTTCTATTTCACCAACAACAGCGGCGACAAAAAGAGGGGACTGGTAAGGACCTGTGATTACGCCCCAATTCCTTGGATTTACCGCTAACAACCTATCCAGGGATTCTTTCTGAGCGGGTTCATGGGCCACGGTGATGTAGCTTACTGCTCGGCCTCGGGATGCAAGCGCGTCTATACCAACCTCAAGGTGCCCAACGGCTTGGTCCGTGGTCTTGACGGCCTCATTTACGTTCCAAGCGCCTTGTTCGGTGGAGTCAAGGTGTTCCGCGTCCGACCCGACAACAATGGGCTCGTATGGGTGGCAGACATCCCTGTGCCTTATGGCATTGACAATCTGTCCGTGGACAGTAAGGGCGACCTATACGCTGCAGTATTCCCGCGAGGTGCCGAGATCCTGCAGTCGTTTGAGGACCCTTTCAACGCAAGACCCAAGAGCGCTGCTGTGCGCATCCATAAGGATAGTGAGGGTGCCTACACGTGGGAGAAGATTATCGAGGATGGCGAGGGAGAGGTGCTTCCTGGCACGACGACAGTTGTGCACGATGCGAAAACCGGAAGGCTGTTTTTCAGCGGTGAGTGCTTATGCGGTCTTCCAGAGGGAACCTTTACTGATTGCGCATACAGGTGTGGTATCGCCATTCATCGCAGTGTGTGAACCTAAAAAGTAAGAATGGGCGGCTGTTATTGAAAAGGGGGAAACCCAATCCGGCTCCAATTGCATATGCGTTATATTTAAGCAGTAGATAATGTGAAACCGAGTATTTCATCTATGATAAGCCAGCCACAAAAGCTCTAGAGGGAGCGTGACGAAACCAGTGAGGAAGGTTTGATAGAATCCAAACCCGGGATCTATCCTACAATTAGCCGGCCTACTGCATCTCAGAAAAAGTCACAAAGCCGCTAGAAGAAGGCCCAAACCCCATAATTTCATTAGACGACCGCCAGTTTCATGAGACGAATGCTTCAGCGGTTGAAAAGTAGTAGCTCCTTTCATCACTAGTTAATCAACCAGAGTTGAATTGACTGAATGATAGAGTCGGGGATGGTGATGTGACCTAAAGCATGTGCAAAGTGGGATTTCGGATGTCACTCCGTTTTCAGGGTGCCAAGTGGCAAAGCCAGATTCACATGGAATCCGATCCCACGTGGGTGACGCCGAGACATGGGCTCTTCACTTCAGCAGTGACATTGTCTTGTATTCTGACTTCCAGAAGGCGATGCAGTGTTATGCAGCGGAAACAAAATGAATCTTCTTTGGAAGAAGTTAACAGAGATGGCTAGATCAAGGCTTTTTTAAATAATCGTCCAAAGTTTTTTCTCAGTGATTCGTAGTACCAGCGTCAGAATGACAAGACGACCGTTTTCTCGTCCCGTCACAATTCGCATTCCTCATCACATGCCAAAAACTCAGTGACCAAGCCTTTCCCCGGACGGGCATTCCTGGGGAGGGATTAGCGCCTTCCAGACCCGTGCGTCATAGGGGGCATGTGGGGGAACCGGGGGCTGGGGGGGAAGTAGCCCAGCTCCAGCAAATGCCCACAGCGTGTTTGTACCGCAGGCGTGACTCGCCCAGAGCCGAAGCCATGGACATCCGAGGTACTGTACCGTCCGTCACGTCGCCCACACCTCTTTGCCATAATCGACCATGCCGCTATCCTATACCCAGCGCCGACCCCAAACCTCACACAACCGAGTTTCATTTTTCTTACACTGCCGCTCTTTATACCGTCCAGCATATCCTTTTTCGTATCTCGTCGAAAACCCATGCGCTGAGTGGGAGCCTGCCAATTGAAGAGCGACCGCCTGTCGCTGTGTCCACTGTCTCCTTGCGACAACCTGCATTTGCCGAGGCTAGCCAGAACAAACTGTAGTTGTCGCCAACATGTCGCTCGCCGCTCTCGATGGCCTCAAGGTAGGCATTAGAACACGTCTTGTTCGAAGGTGTACCCTCGAAAAACACCGACAGCTGACGCGCAGCATAGGCCGCTATCGAGCGCATCATTCTCGACCCGAAATACCATGACATCCTTGCCGTCGTCAAAGGAGCCCGCAATGGCGCCGTCTACGGCGCCAAAGTCCGCTTTCCTCATGCGCTTGTGTACGTCGCCATCCCGATCCCAAGTTATGATCACCAGATACATTGCTAACTTTTGTCGACTAATAGCATGATTTTCCTTTTCCGCTCGGGAACGTACGTTCATCCTCCCAATCCCATCCCCCAGAGACATCAGCGCCGCTAACACGTCGTCTCTCCCATAGATTCCGCCAAAAAGCAAGCCTAGTATTCCGTGCAACACGAACGCACGCTCGCAACCTCGCCAAGTTTGCGACAATCTACAAACTCACAATGTATATTCTCAAAAACTATGGCCCCACCCCAGGCAAGGAAGGGCCTTACGACTCCTTCTTCGCCGGTCTGCTAGGCGGCTACTTCGTCTTCGGCGGTCGCTCCCGCAATGGCAAGATTTCGAGTGTGAACCAGCAGATCGTCATCTACGTCTTCGCCCGCGTCGTGCTCGGCCTGGCCCGTCTCGCCGTCGCTCCTGGCAAGGGTCTCCCCGTCGTCAGCCGCGAGGACCTCTCGGCCAAGATTAGCCACTACGCCTGGCCCGTCTTCGCCAGTACCAGTTGGGCCATGGTCATGTACCTCTTCCGCTGGCACCCACAGGACCTGCAGCCCAGCCTACGCAGCAGTATGAACTACATTTACGTGCAGAGCAGCGAATGGGACTCCCTGCGGAATTTCGTTTGGCATAATAAATAAACGGACCGGGAAGCACGAGATTACATCATGACAGGATCGGGAAACTGCAATACAACTCTTTGGGCGGGCTGTGTATTATCAACAGAAAGAGTCGGCGTTTGGCGGCGGTGTACTTGGAGGGGCCCTTCAGTCTCTCTCTATATGGTGAACGGATGTCCGCGCATCTATGCGGGGTGGTGATTTGTTTTACTATTACAACCATGAAATGGCATTATAGACCAGTCTATTAACCACATACGAAATATGAAATCGACCGTAACCGATGTTGGGGCAGCCTTGGGCTTACCTATGTGTTTCTATATGTGTTTCCATCCGTTCATCCACATGATTTGCATCTCATTGATGAGACACATCTTACCTGGCTCCTTCCGCGGCAGTTCACTCGTCGGAGTCTCGTCAACCCACCGTCGTAGCCTCTTCTCAACCACCCACGCCTCCAGCCCAAGTTGAATGCTGTTCCGGGCCCTAAGGTATCTGTTGGCCCATATGCCCACCACCGCCGTCCATGGCGTCGGAAACCTGTCCAGCCTGGTCTGGCGAAACACCTCTTCATTATAGCCAACACGCACGTTGGGATTCAACCACACGCCCTTCTCACGACTGAGGTAGTTATCCGCGTGGATGAGACAGCACTCGGACCCTTCGAGGTGCAACGCCGCAAGGCTGTCGTCGATGGCCCGGAAACGCAGCGGCGTCTCGGCATAGAACGGCGCCGCATCAAACGCGACGATGCCGTTCCAGCACGACTTGACTTGGACAGGCCGCATCGCCTCCGCCGACGCCCGCGCGCGGGCGCTGTGGAACCACGGCCAGTACCACGACGCCGTCTTCAGCCCCAGGTCGTCGCGGAGGGCGAAGGTGTCGTAGTAGTACGGCCACAGCGTAAAGTCCATCCCGCAGGCGGCGGCGAAGTCGCCCCCGCGAGTGCCCAGCAGCATGGCCACTTCCAGGGTCTCGAATACGACGTCGTTCAGCCAGATGACCTTGTCGAACTTTACGCCCTTCTCGCCGAGGGCCTTCAGGGGCTCCATTGCGCGGTTTCGCTCGCGGGCGAGATACGTGATGCGGCGCATGTCGAAGTGACCCTCCTTTGCGTTCCAGATCCATCCCGGCGGTGGCGGGGTGAGGCCGGACGCCGGGGGCCGGTCGTGGATCTCGTCGAGCTGCTCATGGACCGTCTTGCCTAGGGAAATGGTGTTTTGGACGCCCTTTGCGTCGAGTTTCTCTTTGAGAGCAGAAAGTTTGTCCTTGGTGTCGTCTTGGGAGCCCGACTCGACGGCGGAGAAGTGCACGCGGTCTAGGCCGAGGTAGTCGACGAGCTTCAGGATGTTCTCAGACATGGGCTGGCCCAGTATGGGCCCATTGTTGCGGTGGATACTGGCGATGAAGAAGGTTTCGTTGCCTGGGTGTCTAGGGGGGATGTGGTCCGGGTAGTCAGTGACGGGGCGGTTGCGGACAATTAAGTAGGCGTCTAGGGCGAGGAGGAAGAAGACGAGCTGCAGGAGGGAGCGGAGGGTGGTCCGTCTTAGTCGACGGATTAGGATGAGCATGGCATTAGGTATATAAAGAATTATGGGGGTGGCGAGTGAGGGGATTCGGAGAGGGTTAACGATCGTCGGGTGTCAGGTTCATTGAAGCTGGCGGTTCATGTCGCTTCGTTCCAGGCCAAATGGAAGTTTCACTGGTCTTACCAGAGATTCAACGAGTGCCGTGTTTCCCCTTGGGTTTGGGGATTGATAGTCCAGGCTTACATTGAGGTTCACACGAGGCTCTCTCGTATTCCAGATCTGGGCATTACCTACAGGTTGGCATCAGTCACCCCGGTTCAGGAGTGCACCCTTGGCGAATGCACTGAAGCGGGCCGCCGTGGCGGGAGTGGCTGAGCGATTTCGCAGAATGTAACAAATGTAGATTTAGGAGATAAGGAACGCCACATGCATGCCTAAACACCGATGGACAGGGAGCGGTGAAGAGGTCGAAGAAAGGGAGCAAGAGCCGAGCTGTTGATGGATCCAACTTGCGAGATCAAAACCCACAACAGTGCCATGGAATTATGGGTTGCTCCAAGCTTGCTCTTACGTACGCAGTATAAGTGCAGAGTGCGGAAACAGGACAGAGACGCCGGAAAGGGCGCCGCTGTCTGATTGATTACCTGATGGTTCGCATTTCCGCATAAATCTCTGATCGGGAGAGAACCCTGATTGCTCCCCACATGTATGCGCTCCGTGACAACGAACCAGATATCCACAAACAAGCCTCATAATTTTCCAGCACTGGCCTCTCCTGTATGGTTTGGAGACATGTTGAGTTGTTCCCGGTGGAATCCCGAAGTTGGTGTCTGATGCAAGTGGGTCTGCATTGCCGTGCTGGTGCATGCTTCCCTCGTGGCATTTATCAGCACGTCACAACTTTTCTCCGACTTTAAAGTTAGCAGCTGTATTCATCCTTAAGGCGCCAGAGACACACACAAAAAAAAAATAGAGGGCGTCTCCAAACCTTGAACCTGGATCCCTGACACTGGAGACGTCATTCCCGTCCCTGAGAAAAAAAGGCAGACCCCACCTTGGCCCCCCTCCCGTTGCCTTGCAGTCTCTTTGACATCGTACTATCGGATTTCTAAGCAGACTGGCGACCGACGTGGCTGAAGATCTAGCCTTGATGGTGATTCGCTGCCCAGGCTTTTTTTCTTCTCTACTCTTCTCCAGCAGTTGCGCCAAGCTTGTGCCCCTTGCGGTGTTGTACACTAAACCTTGAATAGTCTAACAACGTGGGTTTGTTCGAGAACACTTCCTTACTAGGAACCCGCGCGTTGCATAGTGTACATGAGAGAACAGCAGATTACAGATCGAATGCCACGGGCCACACGTCTGCTTTCGGGTTCACCGCTCGGAAGGGTCAGCAAAGAGCTACCCCCTCTCCCCTCCGAGAACTTCACAGAAGCGTTTCTGACCCGCTCTCCGAGTTGTCGCCGTGGTGTGTACCACCACGGAGGGACCACCCCCCATTTCTAAGCCGCCCTGTCAAGAAAAACTTCTTCAATTCAATGATTCAGACAGCCTCATGCGGGCAGATCTGGATGTGGGGACACTGCCGAGTGTGTCTTCTCGGCCGTGCGGGACCCTCCAGATGCTTCTACGGCAACGCTTCGGTGGGCTCTGGGTTGACTTACACGAAGTCGTGAACATACATAAATACTCTCGAGCCGTCCGCTTCAAGTGAAGAGAAGGTCCTTAACAGACAGACACAAACACACCGACAAAGAAATCTCTCACCTCATCTTTCACACAATCTTATTCGCTTTAGAGGTTTACTTTTTATGATACCCCCTTTCCATTTTTAATTCTACCCTTCAAATCGCTACAATGGCCGCCGAGAACACCAAGCTCTTCCAGCCCATGAAGATGGGCAAGATGAACCTCTCCCACAAGGTCGTCATGGCCCCCCTCACCCGCTACCGTGCCGACGATGACGGTGCCCCCATCCTCCCCATGGTTGCGCAGTACTACGCCGACCGTGCCTCGACCCCGGGAACCCTTCTGATCAGCGAGGCTACCGCCATCTCTCCCGCTGATATTGGCGATCTCAACCTCCCCGGCTTCTCCACCGAGGCCGAGTGCGCTGCCTGGAAGCAGGTCTACGACGCCGTTCACGCCAAGGGCAGCTACATGTTCCAGCAGCTCTGGTCTCTCGGCCGTGCTGCCGACCCCAACTTCGTCAAGGGCCGCGGCTACAAGTACTGCTCCTCCAGCGACATCCAGATGACCGGCCGCCCCTGCCCCCCTGAGGCCCTGACTGAGGAGGAGATCTGGGAGAAGATCAACCACTTCCGCAACGCCGCCAAGAACGTCGTCGCGGCCGGTGGTGACGGCGTCGAGATCCACGGCGCCCACGGCTACCTTATCGACCAGTTCACCCGCGACTCGGTCAACAAGCGCACCGACAAGTGGGGCGGCTCCGTCGAGAACCGCGCTCGCTTCCTTCTCGAGATCATCAAGGCCGTCGTTGAGGAGATCGGCGCCGAGCGCGTCGCCCTGCGCCTCAGCCCCTTCGCCACCTTCCAGGAGTCCTACAGCACCGACACCTGGGAGCAGACCATCTACATCGTCCGCGAGCTCAAGAAGGCCGGCTACAAGCTCGCCTACCTCTCGCTTGTCGAGGCCGTCGGCAACCCCGTCAACCTCGGCATCGTGCCCCGCCAGCCCACCGACGACGTCCAGCCCTTCGCCGAGGACCGCCCCCAGACCCTCGACTTCATCCTCGAGGAGTGGGACAACCTCTCCCCCGTCGTCGTTGCCGGCGGCTACCTCAGCGACAGCGCCCGCTGGGCCGTCGACGAGCGCTACAAGAAGTGGGACGTCGCCGTCGCCTTCGGCCGCTACTTCATCTCCAACCCTGACCTCGTCTTCCGCGTCAAGAACAACCTGCCCCTCACCCCCTACGACCGCTCCACCTTCTACCTGAAGAAGAGCAACGAGGGCTACAACACCTACGAGTTCAGCAAGGAGTACCTCAAGGCCCACGCCTCCGCTTAAAGCATTTGCTGCGGGATGGTATGATAATATGATCAGATACATGGGCATCACGGCATAGCACTGGAGTTTGGGTTTGCTTTTAGTTATATATAGAGCATATAACTTTAGATATATGTACATATAAATATTTTATCTACACAAAAGTTTTTCAGTCAGCGTGATTAATGAGATCCGGTGAATTTAGATGTAATGTGAATGTTGATTTTGCATGAATGATCCCACTGGGCTGGTGAGTGAGACAGGGTTCAGGTGCATATAATTACAACACAGAAAGAAAAATAAAGAATCTAGAATTACAACCAACAGTTGAAAGGGGTGACATGCAAATGAAATTCTGCTAAACAGAAAACAGACGGACTCGATAGTCTTCTTACAGGGATACACAATTGAATTGGTTTAATACAGCATCACGGTTATGGGCAATAAGAAATTAAAGGAAAAAAAAAAAAAAAAAACCAGCGGTACTTCATCAAGGCGGGGGGCTTACAGTTAGAGTGAAAGGAGAACAAGTTCTGTAACTCATCTCCATTAACAAACGGAGACTAGAGACTTCACTACATACGAAAGGTGGGAAACTAGAACGCCCAACGAAGGGTACATCTCACCGTCCGGCAGTTGGAACTAGAAGCAAATGAGGATGGGTTTCCAAGCGGGCTTCTGCATTTTGCGTATTGCATCCCAGATCAGTTTCAGCCAGGCTTGCGGTAAAAATCCATCTTTACATATCATCTCATTATCCATGAAGAATTTTCCAGATAGCTTTCGTCTTGAAGAGACAACGCGACAATGACACTGGCCAAGTCCTTCGGTCATTCCGTTGATGTGCATTTTGCTCATGGGCTCTGACAGCCTGAGCCTTCCACTAGACCCCGGAACAGACGTTCTCAATAATCCACACTAAGACAAGATAACTTCAAATGTCACAAGTTTGTGACAATCTGCAAGAGCAATCCAGTCAACCCGCGAGCAGACTCAATTCGAACAATTGCTGAGCCTGTTTATTCCTTGCGCATTCTGAAGACTCTAACTTATTATATCACAAGCATCACATTTGCGCATCAGGACAAAGAATACTACAAACTAGCTTCTTTTTTTCTCATTCAAGTCTCGTCCCCCCCCCTGCTTAGGGACACATGAGTTGATAAGACATCTACCGCCCCATTTCGATGCTCATTAAACATGGTGCTCATTTATTCCTGGCCTGAAACTCATGGTTGGTTCGTGTCTGATGCTTTGGATCTCGCTACTGTACAATCCCAAATCCAGATATTGCAGCTTAGAAGTCAAACTCGTTCCTGAAAATTTCAGGGTCGACACCCGCAACAGTCTTTTCAGCCAGGTCGCGACGACCCATCTGGGTAAACACCCTCCTAAGAGTGTCGTACAAGGTCGTGCTCCGGTTCTGCGCCGTCATGCGGTCGATCTGCTCATCGAGTTGGGCGGTGTTGGTACCGCCGCGGACGCCATCGCCGCCGCCAAGGATCTCGTACGCCATATTGCGGCCACTCTTCTCAATGGCCTTGTGCATGTTGAGCGCGGCCAGGAAATGAGAGGCAGCCTCGGCGTGGCAGCCGATGTTGATGCAGCTGACACCAAGGTTATACCGTGCACGGACAAAATTAGGGTGGATGCTCAGCGCCTTCTCATACGCCGCGATGGCCTCCTCAGAACGACCTGAGTTCGCAAGGGTGGCGCCCAGGCGGTTCCAGAGCAAGTGTAGCTGCTCCTGCTGGTTCGTAGTGCCAAGCTCGGATGAGTGGAGAGAAGCAGTGAAACAGTCGACTGCCTTATCGTACTCTTCAGCGCCGTAGAAAAGGACTCCGAGTCCGACTTGGACGTCGGGATCCATGTGTTCGCCATCTGGGCTGAGCTGCGCTGCCTTAATGAAGAGGCTAGTAACCTTATCGTGCAGTTGTTGACGGTCGGTGAAGCCCATCTCGGCCATAGGATGCAAGTCCTTCGGAGCGATAATTTGTGGATACTTTACGGACAGCCACCTCTCGAGCGTGCGGTAGGCGGTACTGTCGTAGCCCTCGTTGGTGTATGAGACGGCCAGTCCCATGAGTGCAGCCAAGTTGTTTGGGTCCTGCTTTAGGGCTTGTTCCAGAGCCCGAATCGCCGCCGTCTCCTTCTCATTCTGTGCCTGCGCTGAACCGAGGTACACCCAAGCCTCTGTATGATCTGGATTCTGTTGAACAGCCGCTTCGAAGGCCAAAGCCGCAAGAGAGAGGTTTCCTCCCTCGCGCATGATGCGAACACCCTCGTCGAAGGCGTTTTTCTCATCGCTGAAGAAGTTGTCCTCTTCGAAGAGGTAGTTCTCCACTACGGGATCGCCGAGTCGTCCCCAATCGCTATTCATACCAGTGAAATCTGCGCCCCAATCCTCGCTGTCGAACTTATCGAACGTTGATTCGTCGACCATACCTTTTGCCGCTGCCGTTTCAGCTTGGATACCTTTCCATATTGATTCAAAATCCCCAAATCCCGTCTCGGATTGCATACCTTTGTCCATTTCCTCCAGTTCGGGCTCAGCGGCCTTGGCCTCTTGCTCTTCCTTTTCTTGCAGCTCCATCTGAGCAAACTGCTCCTCCCACTTGTTATCATCTAGCTCTACCAGCTTTCCTTTGCCCTTGACGTCCTGCTGCGGCTGCTGCATGGGCTGTTGATACATCGGTTGGAACATAGGTTGGCCCATCATGCTGTTGTATCCCATGCCCATGCTCATTCCCATGTTCATGCCCATTCCCATTCTTGGCTGCTGCTGGCCCATCTGGTTAGGCATGGGACTTGCCCTGGCAGACGAGGGCTGCTGGTTCATCTGTCGAAAGCGGGAAAATTCTTCGGGACTAAACTGTGTACCTGGCGGAGCATTGAATGCAGATTCCATAGCGGCCTGGTTTTGGAAGTCGTTCGCCCACGTCGGCGATGTAGAGTTCGCGCGAAGGTGCACACCTTGGGAGGGATCTATTCGGACAGCACCGTTCTGCATAGGAAGCTCTTGTTGAAGACCGGGACCGTTATTAAGAAAACCGTTCATCATCTGCCGCGCTGGTTAATTCAAATAACAAGTTTAACGATGCGGGGTCTACCTACCTCGTCCTGCGGGGTGCTCGCTCCAGCACTTCTGAAGCCGCCAGCAAGCGCATTTGGCCCTCGCTGCACCAGCCTGTCTCTTTGCAAGGTCTTATCATCTTGAACGTGCTTCTGGAACTGGCTGAGCGGGTTGCCGGAGGTCGAGCATTCAGCGCCACCGAGAAACGACATTGTAATGGCGTCGTAGGTGCTGAGCAAGTACCGGACAGATATCAGTCTCGTTGAGGGTACAGCCGAAATGCACAAGGACAGGCGTGAAATCGGTACCGTCGGTAGAAGTGGCGTTTGGGCGGTTTGGAATGAGGACGTGTCGTCAGTTGAGACCAGTAGGTGGGATGGGTTGGTTTGTAATTGGGGGTAGCAACGAGCGGTTGAATCTCCGAAAACATACCGAGGCAGCCCGGCGTGGGGCTCTGACTGGCGACGGCAAATTCCTTTCTCCGCAGCCGGAAGCGGGGGAACCAATGAAAAGGTAGCTAGGATGGACTAGCGACAGCGGGGAAGTAGGGGCCCTGGTTATTGATGAACCTTGGTGTTCCGGTGCGGCAGCATGTGAGCTTTGTGCATGGGCGCTTCATTGCCACAAAAGGGCTGTCCTATTGTTTGGGGTCCTTGGAAACAAGTACCCTGCTTTGTGTCTTGTGGATACCACCACAGACATTAACGCAAGGAAGAACATTGTCTGAGACCTTAAAAAGAAACATTTATCAGCTAGACATCATTACAATAAGAAGCAAAATGCCAGAGGGATCCAAGATGAATAGGTTTGTTATCTCATCAACTTTGCATTGCAGAGCCTGTTAAAGGATTGCGTAACCTAAGTTTTTCCTCCAGATGGGCATTGTGTCTCTATCATGAACCTAGGGGTATCATTCCGTTGTGACCAACCATCAACCGCCTCAGTACAAACCGTCTCGTTCCAGACTCCTTTGGTGTCATCTATGCTATACCCTCCCTCTATGCGTATAATAAAGGCAACTCCAACTGTGGTAAGCTTCCACAAGCCACACTTGAGAGTTCGATTATTTCACTCCAATGAACCCAATGCTCTGCCTGGCCTTTCTGACTGCACGTCGCAGGGCTTGCTCCTCCTCATCTGTCCACTTGACTGACAGCTGATCCCATTTCATTCCTGGGGTGTTGTACTCACGTTTCCACTGTGAGTGCATTGCCTGAAGTTTGCTCATTTCACGTGGATCGCCAGAGCCCGTGTATACAATGAATGCCGTACAAGGCGGAAGATTGGCGTGAATAGTCTGTAGACGCACTGATAGACGAGCCAGACATTGCTCGAGAGGCGATTTGCCGAGCTGTGCATCAAGCTCCGTCGGATCAATGTCGGGCGGACCACCATCACTGCTGGCATTGTCGACCCGATTCTTATTCCACCAACCCTGGAGTGCCTCAAGCTCTCGCATGCGACCCCATACGAAGTCAACACCGCCGCCGGGGATCTCTAGCCCGTCTGCATCACCCTTCACAGCGCGAATGACGCCGTTGACAACATCTGCGTCAGATTTGCAACCGATTTGATGTGTTGCACCAGCACCAGGCCCCTTGGACGGGTCGCCCCAGTCCACTGCAGCACTGGTCTTGCCTGTAACTTGACCGCCTGCATCGCCGCCCTGCGCCTTGTATGCTGTCCCAGCCCTGGCCAAGCGCCGGAAAAGATTCTCGCCTTGAGAATCAGATGCGCCCCACATCTTTCCCTTCTCACACTTTTGTCTAACAAGGTCGAGGCAGGCGCGGGCATCTTCGATTGGGTTATGACCATTGGCACCACCCTTTTGGATCTCGCGGTTAATATACTTCTGAGTCAGCCATTTGAGTGATGACTTCAGAGGAGGCCCTCGCGGGTGAGGGTATATTAGAGAAGTATCGACAATGAAAGGGTGTGAGAAACGAAGAGCCTTGAGGTCAGACTCAAGCGAGTGTCCAATGAGAATGGTGCGCGGTGTGACGATTTCGACCAACTTCTTTTGAATATCTTGGAGAGTTGTGGTAACAGGCTTCAGCATCTCCTCTGTGATACCAGAAAACCGGGTTACGTAATCGATAATGGGTTTCTCTGGCTTGACCAGCTCATCCATGATCAGATCCCCAGACCAGGAGATAATGCTGATGCGTGTCAGAGAATATTCGTTCTCGCCCGTCATGCACATCTCGCAATCCAAAGCCAAACATTCTCGCCCGGCAGTGAGACTGCCTTGGTCAATCTCTGCCTCGGGCACGTCGCCATCCTCAAGTTTATCAACTTTTGAGATTGCCCACCCTTCAGGGACTTTGAAGGCTGCTCTTCTCTCCTCGTTCTCAATAAGTGCAGGATGAATCAGATGTCCAGCGACCTCCAGTTCTTCAAGAGATGCCAAGAATTCGGTTATCCGGGTTCGCTCATTCTTCCACCCACTTGGTTCTCGAGCCGGTCTTGGGCCTTTTCTGTCGTCCTTGTTTTTGGACATCGGCGCGGTCAGAAAAGTGCCCATAGGCGAGTGTAGTTTCATATATTTGTCGTCACCAGGGGCTTTGACAGGCCAAAGATGGGGAAACATCTTGGCGAATCCTTGAAGCGCAAGTGGTAGTCGTTCTGCAGTAAGAGGTCGGGGGTAGTAGTCGTCGGGACTTGTATCTTCACTCTCCTTATGATTGGCTGGACGTGCCCCGTACTTGTCGAAGTTAACCGTTTCTTTGAACATGGCTTCCTCCAGTCCTGGGACCATCAATACTACAATCTTTCTGAAGTTTGGTCGGTGGGACACAGAAACCCAATTGGGCCCAGTGCCGTCTGCGAATATGTACAAAACCAAATCGCGCAACATCGCAAGGTTGATTTTTGAGAAGATCTTCGCACTCGAGGAAAATGTGATGGCAGGATAGTTGCTGGAGCCTTCGCGAGGGAGCTTCTTGCGCTTCTTGTTCGACCGTTCTACCTTCTGCCACCCATCATTGTCATCATCATCGTCCGGGGCAGATCTCTTGAGGCTTCCACTGCTCTGGGTCTGCAGTGAGCTTTCACGGGCTTCGAGCTCGCCATTATCGGTCTCCTTGTCGGTCGCAGAGTTGATTATTGAGTCAAGAGACTGGGTGGCAGCATCCACCATGACGGCAGGTTCTTGATCGGTAGGAACTTGTTCAGGGAGCAATTGCGCTTTGTCGCGTTGGCGGTTTCTGCGATTTTTCCCCATGACTGTCGGCCTCCAGAAGTATCAAGCTGGAGGTTGGAGAGGAAGGAGATCGTGTTGCTCCTCTACAAGTGGCAGTGGGGTTGAAGCTGGGTGATTTTTTTGCAGCTGGCGAGCTCTGAAAAATGTCTGGCCTGTCAATGCAGATGCGACATCAATTCCGGACCACTTGCGGGGTGAGCCAATGAAATTAAAAGTTGATAAGATAAAGCACCAACGGTAATGTGGGCTGGCAAGGGACCCTAGTTCTCAAACGAAGGGATCTCATGTACCTTAATGGCCGCGCATTTCTATTACATCAACCTGTCCAAGCTCACCATTAACTTAGAAAACAGTCAATTGCTCCGATCTAGTTCTCCCATTGTTTGTAAAACCACTGTTTTTTCGTAAAATTTTCCAGCTCCATGCAGCATTCGGGGACTACTTTCTTACAACAGCTGATAATATTAAATATAGATACCTTGCGACGCGAATATATTAACAACGGCCAGAAACCCTGGGAAGGTTGATGGATTTAAGGAAACGTGAGATGGGAAACATATCTTACCTCAACGTCTCAAGCCGCTTATACTACTTGAATTGATCATTGTTAAGGTCAAGAGGGCCAAGGAACTCTGGGCCAGATCGGGCAGGATTTACCCTTTTGACTTTCGCTAATAATGATCAATTCGGTTTCGACATGGACTATCACCGCGAGCTATTAGGTTGTGCCTCAAATCAACAACTGCATATTCAACATTGCTCATGCAGTCAAGGGAATGAATATAACAAAATACAAGGATATACATGCTACAAAGCTAATTTTATGGATTTTTTTTGTTCAACATGAAACGTTGGGGTGATTAGCATTATATTGTTTCCCAAACGGAGATTAAGTCCAGGCAGCAAGTTTTGTGGTTGCAGAAATAAGAAGATGCCTGAATATGCAAAGCGTTGGGACAACTAAACTCCAAATAAGATACTTGGTTTATAATGGCAGAACACCGCTTCTTCAAAGCTGCTATGGAGAGTTACAATCCAAGGAAGGCTACGAAGTAAAGCATACCTACAGACAAGGATGACACCAAAGAAGGAGCCGGATGATGGAGTTTATACAGTTGACGTAGACGATGGCTCAGGGCCATTCCAATGCGTACAAGCTGAGATCCTGGCCCTTTTTTTACATGAAGATGTAGAGTTTGACGAGCAAGCTACGATTGGCCAAGCTTTTGCAAATGACAGTCGGTTACTTCAGCAGCAGCTATCGCACTCGCCAATGAGATATTGAATAGCACACTCGAGGGCAAGATGTGATCTTTTTGAAGCTAGGTTTGCTGAAGAGTTACCAGGGAAGTTGTAAAAAGCCAGCCATTCCTGTAGCAAGACATCAACAGCAAGACTTCTCAATCCCTGGCAGAAGACCATATGTTCCAGAGTCAGGCGTTCCCACGAAAGGCTTCCCGATTATCGAATCGAAAGCAATGGGCTACTTCTGAAAGCCTAGGCGACACGCACAGAAACAAGCGACAAATGACATCGGAAGAGACCAAATGATTGGCAAGACCCAATGTTGTCATTTCATCAAGTGGGTATCATTTGGCAGACAGATCGTGACCCATGCCTAAATCTACTTCTAACACAGCTTTTCCAAGCTCTGAGAGAGCTTTAATAGGCTCGACAAAGCCAAACCTGAAGAAGTCTTCCATACTTTTGGGGTCCTTCCTCCAGGCAAGAATCAAGCTTGTCTCCTTCTCCCGGCCAGGGAGACTCTCAATATCTCTAAGCATTTCTTGTGCCAATACTAACACTTCCCAGTCGGCTGACGGTGCAAACTGGCTTTGTACATCAATCAATGACAAAACCATTTGGCATAATGAGACCTGATCCAGGTTCTCCAGTACTTTGACGCTCTCCGCTGAAAGTTTTTTCATCGCCGCCACGTCTCTAGCGAGCTTGGTGAGCTTGTCTGGGTTGGGTGCAGTATTAGACAAGGCGATCGCAACAGAGGACAGCCCTTTGAGCCTTTGGGGGTGGAAGGGCACGACATGCTTGAACGGCTCTATCTCGTATGCCGATAGGCAAGCGATCGCGAGGGCGCATTCATGGTTGCCTCGATCCTTTCCGAAATAGAATGATGCCTCGTCCACCACCTGCGCAAAGGGCTCGATGGCCCACTTTCCCAGTTTTACGAAATAGTCTCCCGTCTTATATGCTCTCCGCAGCCACTCGTGCTTTTCCTTCGGTTTCAAGTCGCGAGGAAATTCAGGCATGATGTTTTGGATCTTCAAAACCTCCATCCCCTGAGACCGTTCAACGGTGTTGCAACCGGGAGAGGATTTAAAGCGATGAGTATCTGGCATAGCACTCATAGTATTAAGTTCAATAGTGGGGTCTTTCATGGCGATTTGGTACTCATCGAGGTCGTGCTGACACTTGTAACAAGAGCACTCGAAACGATAGAGGTAAAGTTCGGTTTGTCTCTTGTCCCTTGGTTGTGTTTGGTCTATCACATGTTAGTCAAAAATAATGATAATAATAGTTCATGATATTTGGGGCTTGGGTCTCACCAATGTATGATATCTCAATCTCATCGCCAGGGTTGATGAAGGAGGTGGACCGGACTGTGGCCGTTCTCCCTCCAAACTGCACCAAAGCATTGGGTACACACGAGTGATTGATCATGGCCAGTGTTGTGTCCAAGAAAATGCCGCCTGATTGATAGTACTCTTCCGTACGGCTGAATGCGTTGGTTTGAAGCTGTAGGGTGTTAGCATAGGTCCTCGAGAATCTAACTTCCGCAGGAGACAACATACCTTGCACAAAACCTGAAAAGCGTCCTCAAGGCCTCTGGGTGTTATCGAATCAGCCCCAAGACACCTTACAACGCCATGAGCTTGCAGTTTCAGCTCCATTTCATCCTTCTTCCTCCACTCCTCAGCATGACCCTCCAAGTCGTCAAACTCATTAAGCACTGCCGGCCGCAGCATGACCTGAGTTGCGGCGCGGATTGGTGTGGGGACCCAATCGGGCTGATTTGATGGCTTTCCTTCATGCAGCCGCTGGATCGCCTTGCACTCAAGCTTGTGAATTAGGGACCAGTTAGCTCTTTGGCATACCGGGCCGCAGTATGCCACCGTCTTGCAGCCCGTGCATGCGCGTAGTTTTTCCACGCCAGCTTGCCCCTGGGCTTTTAGGCAGTGGTTGCAGTACTCTAGGGCGTGGTTGCCCGGAGGGAGTACTACGGCTGGCTCATTGAAGCGGGCAATGATGTCGCCGGGCTGGAAACGGCGGGTTGCGTGGATGGAACGGCCGCCCTTGGCGCCGCCTTTTGAGCCACGGACTTCTATCCCGTAACGTAAGGTAGACATTTTTTTATCCTTCCAAGAGCCAACTAACAGAAGTAAATCGTTGGCCTGCGTTGGGACACATTTGCTTCACAAAACCAGAGGGCATGTAAGGTGAAATGTTTCCATAGCATGCCACAAATTAGTGTGGCTGGTGTTATCGATCTTGCTGTCGAATCGGTCTGCCCTGTGGCGGTGCGGTAGCACGGCAGCGCGGCAGCTGGGGGTGCTTCACCTACGGTCTGGAAGATCACCGCTGTGCACAGGCATTGGCTCCCACCAACCCCGCCTCGTCCCCTACTCCATCCCACCAACTCCCGTCGTTCGGTCTCTTTCTATTCTGAGCCTCACACAAAAGCTGACAAGCTTCCCCCCGCCCAAACGCGCATCCAAGAGGAAACAAAAAATCTCCACTACTTACCGAAACACCACACCGAAAAAAAAGGAACGCGTTCACGCACACCTCCTCAAACCACCCAAAAAACCAGTTAACACGCTCTACGCGGCCCGCAGGCTCTGATGACTACCATCGAAAACCTTAAGACAATCGACCCCTTCGCCGATGCGGAAGAGGGCGAGGGCACCAACAATCCCAAGAAAGGACAGGACTACATCCACATCCGTATCCAGCAGCGCAATGGCCGCAAGACTCTCACCACCATCCAGGGTCTTCCTAAGCGCTTCGACCAGAAGAAGATTCTCAAGGTCATAAAGAAGAAGTTTGCCTGCAACGGTACCATTGTGGAGGACCAAGATCTCGGCGAGGTCATTCAACTCCAGGGTATGTCGTACACTCCACTTACCTTCGCCTATTGCTAGGTCCAATCAACCGAGTGCAGAAGACTAACACGTTTCACCCCAAACAGGCGACCAGCGCAAGAACATTCACGACTTCCTCGTCGACAAGCAGGAGGGTCTCGAGATGGACTCCAAGGTACGCATACGCGCTGAAACTACACTCTTTTCGCAGAACCCCACACTTGCATCTCAACCCCTCTATGACGAAGCACCACATTCCATTTCACTGCGCCAGAAAGACAACGCTAACCTACTCTTTCTTATACAGCTCGTCAAGGTCCACGGTTTCTAAACAAGCCGTTACTGCCAGGAGGCGTCGTCCCCCCCTCGCAGCCGACCGGATTTTGGTATCCCCGAGCCGACACGAATACCGACCAAGCAAGCTCTTATTTCGACCTCAAACTTCGTGAAGAAAGTTTGGGAGTCGGTGGGCTATGTCTGTGGTCCTAAAGGTCGATTCCGGGGACGCGAGAGTATCTTAAAGGTGCCTGGGGGAGATATCCTTGAGGTCCAGCTTAACAGTATTGCTGGATTGGCGCCGCATTAGGAACTGGCAAGGGACTTGCGGTTTTGATGAGTTCGAGATTTCCCCTTTTTGTGACACATTGCTGCTTTGCCCAAGTGCAGAGTCGATGTCAAACCAGGACTAGATATGAAGACTATTATCATGGGCCTTGTGCCAGGTAACGGAATCATCATGAACTACACAATCAGTTCCACCATCAGAGACAATGTGATTTGCACAAACGAAAAGTGACCTCTCAGAACTCGTCTCGCAGCAGGGTCATGCCGGAACAGTACTCGTAAGATATCTGGGATTACCATGAGCCGCGACATTTGAGACCAAGAATAATAAAAGAAACCGAAAAGAAAAATTGCGCTGCTAACAATTTATGAACCTTGAAAATGAACGCTACTGTATTAAACATGAATTCGCTGTAGTGCTCTCAGCTGGACCAGGGCAGTGATTCAAAACTTATTGAGCATCCTCGATCCCAACGCCATGGGCCGAGACACCACAGCATAGCAAAACCTTCCCCAAATGACATAGGCCATCTCGGACGTGCCTCGCCCCGTTCTTCACCATAGACTTGCACGTATTTGACTGGTGCACATTTGCCCCCCGGTCTGGTACTTGGTGCTGATCAGCAGCCTGCTGCCCAGTTGATCTTCTCACCCTGCCAGATACATTATGTGACTTCTCTGGTCGAATTGGTATTTTCACGAGAGTCAAAAGCCTTTGCAGTCGACGAGCGTCTTGCTGTTCTGGCACTTGATATTCACCGGAGTCTCGCTGTTGCTGTTGACCAGAGCTTTCTTGTTGCTGTCCATCTTGGTTTATCTGCAACGTGTTTCGGTCCATACCAGGGGTATTATCGGTTCCGCAAGCGAGCCATTTTAATACGATGCATATGTGGCAAAAGTGGTTGGACTTCACGTTTCGTGGAGGACTGATGGGTGGCTCTAATGGTGAGTCTTGAGGCGAATGTCCCCGTTGAGAGGCTGAAGGACCCAGAGAATCTGGTGGGCTGTTTTGGTAGCCGCCGTTACTGTCGTTGATTTGCAGTGGATTACCACCACCTTCAGCTGTATTGTTATTTACTCCTTCATTGTAATCTACTAGTTTAGCTTGAGACTTACTCTGGCCTTGAGTAGAGTTATCTTTCTTTCCAATTTCCTTGGAGGCAGACCCGGTATGATCTATACCCAGAACATCTCTGACCTCATTTTTTGACGAGCTGGATGGGTCAAGAATTGGGGCTCGAGATTCTGTATGGCTCGAGACTTCTAGTATTGTGCTCAAATGGCTAGAGTCTGAGCTCTCATTTTTGGACAGACTTGGCCGAACTTTATGTCCATCAACAAGGGTCGCGCGGCCGGTACCGGTCTGTCGTACTCGGGGGCTAATGGTGGCCTGGCTACTGCTGGCGTTGCCGGCACGACCACCAATGAGCTGACTCTGAGTCGCACCCGTATTTTGCGTATTAGACAGCGATTGATGCTGGTCGAGAAGTTGTTGCGCTGCGTTTGCGTCCCTTTTCAACTCCATGGCTCCCTCATGTTCAGCGGCAGCACCACATATGGCGCATAGGCATTGGTAATGAGGTGTTGCTAAGTAAATTGGTTCTCCTTTCGCGATGAACTTGGTAGCAATCAGTTTGTCGACAACAAGCTGTGCGTTGCATTTGGAACTTCGCTTGTCCACGACTTGGCTCTTCGCAAGCAGAACTTTAGTTCTCCAGACCCTGCAGCCAAAAGACCTCATGAAGTTGCACAGATTCCGGTGATGGACAGTGTTCATCTCAGCTGGTGACAGAGGAACGCCAGCCAAGTTGGGGTCTGCATGGATGCATGTTGCTCTGATCGTGGCTGTATCGCCCTCAAGCTCTTTCTAGAACTTGGAGAGTCGATCATCCACAATAATTTGGGGATAGTTGAAAAAGAAAGAAATATTCTTGATGATAAAATCACCCGAGTTGTAGTCATTTTCGGCAACGTATGGCTGGGCAGGGTCGTCCAGGACCAGGCGAATGGGAATGGCCTCCATAATGCGACTGCAGTTGTTGTACTAAGCGTTCAAGTGGTTTATGCTGCAGAAGCGGCAGCTAGTGAAGTGAAATATAATGAGGCGATGAATGCAATGAAAACCATACGATACACTGCAGAGGTAAAACTCTCCTATTGACGAGATGGCAATGCTGAAGATGATGCGGAGTACGAAGACTAGAGACAGGATGGGGGCCCGAAAGGCAAAGCCATTAACCCGGCAACAGTTCTGGAATCCTCTGAGGAAAGATAGTACTTTCCACGCAGTAGGATCGAGAGAGAAAGGGGGGAAGGGTGTCTGTCAACTATGTGCGGTAAACTTGTCTCTCGGGAAGGAGACGTCGCCGACAGGTGCCTCATGAAAAAAACAACTTCATCGCACCATCCTGGACTGTTTCCCTTTCACACTCAGCTTCTGGACCATCTCTTTCTTTGAGAGATAGTTCCACCCACCCATGTCGTCCAAACCATTACCAGGTTCATTTCCGTCAGAGTGAGGAACGCGCGAGCATGAAGCCATTTCCTTCTCAACAAACACCGTCATGGAAACGTCCATACAGGAAAGAAAGCCAGGGGAGGGGCACAGCGCAGATATTGTGGAAAGTAAGGGCGACACCGTGTGGACACTCTAATGATTAGTCAACATAACAAATGAACTGAAAGCCTTGATTCAACCTCGGGTTGATCTATGTAACGGTATCATACACCACCAATCCTCGCTCATTCCTGCTTCTTGGCAAGCTGGGCTTTCCGTTCTTCCTCATCGAGATGCTGCTTCTTGTAGTGGGCAACGACATGGTCCAGGTTAGTCTGGGAACCAGCGACAACGTTGCGGGCGGCGTGGTTCGAGAAGGCCCTACGCAGATAAGATGTTAGTTGAATAGTATTCTCTTGCAAGTAGTAACCAGATATCGATTAGAGGCAGGTAGGCTCACTCAGGAAATCGGAGGTCGACGTCGCGGTTGGCCGGGGCGGAGAAGAGGAGCAACCTGTCAAAACCAGCTTGCTCAATAGCCTTGGTATGGAGGTGGCTCCTCTCAGCCCATGTCTCCTGCCAGTGCCACGCTTCGTGGATCTTCTTGGTGAGGTATGGTGCCTCGCCGTCCTTGCCGGGCGAGGTGATCTTGTACATGAAGTACGCCGCGGGAATGACGGCAACGGTCGCCCAGAAGAAGTTCTATAGTGTTGTAACGACTCAATTAGCTTCAGAGGTCTTGACAATAGCGGTAATCGGGGTGCCAGAAGGCTCGAACGTACTCCGATGGGCTCCTGGACGTTGTGGGCGTGGTGGTGGCCGTGGTCACCTCCGGAGGCGTAGGATCTCGATTGGCGCAGGCTCGTCAGCTTCGACTGACGCGCGATGCAGGCGCCCCGCGTTCGAATGGCCTGCATCGTGAATGACGTTCCGGTTCGGTGTCAATTGACGATGGGGAATGGGATAAGTTCGTGGGATTTGAGGAGGCAGCTTTCAAATGTGGAGGTTATCCAAGGTTCGGTCGCCGGAGGAGCGTCACTTTTCGCGGATTAGCGCGCTGCGGTTGTGGCGGCTGCATCAGCCAATCAAAGCCTGCCGAATTCAAATATGAGAATCGCCTCTCAAGATGGGGGCAACAGGGCTTTGGAGACAGCTTGGCCAGACGGATGATTTCGATGAATTTCTATTTCATGATGGTAAAGTGTCCTTTTTGAAGTTGACTCATTTTTTCATCTCTTTACTTTGTTATAAGAGTACAGGCTTTTTTCCAAGCTGCAGCCATCCCTCAAATCATAGTTGCAGCCATCAACATCCACTCACTCACTTCAAACTCATTTCAACATTGCATTTGTGCCCACTGTTCTTAATTGAAAGTAGCACTGGGCCTATCATCGATTGCCGCAAACGTGGCGATACCCTCGATTTCGATGTTAACTGAACAAATCAACTTTTTTCATTAAATCATCGCAAATACGACAATTACAATTTCCGAAATGGCCTCAAAGTCTACACCTCGTGCATATTTTTCCCCATTGACTATTTTTATGGTTGTTTTCGGCCTCATCTTCCTTGCATCCTCAGTCTCAGCTTCATCACAAGCATCAGCGGCGGCGCCGTCACCATCAGTCGAAGTCGAACTCATTTGTCACACAGACAACCCAGCAGAATGCTATCCCAAGATCTTTCAACCAACAGAAGAATTCCAAATCGTCCATGACGATCAGGAGTTACCACATGGCCTTCACGTACGAATGAACATCAACACTGGCGAGAAAGAGGCCAAGATCAATGACCCGAAAGAGACAAACCCGGCTCTAGAGGGTATGCCTGTAGACCGTTCGATTGTGGTCGTTGATTCCGAAGAACCCGCTGAAGAACCGCAATTGCCCGAAGGCGCACCTAAATACGACCCCAAGGGCGCAGTCAAGCAGCCCCAGCAGGAGTCGAGCGAATTCTACTCCAACCTCGAATACGTCAAGAAGGGCGCGAACGGAGTTGACCTTCCCATCGACGAGGCTCTCGAATTTCTCGAAGATATCTCTCATGACATTTATTACGGCCTGAAGATCACTGAGACCTTTGACACCATTAAAGCCCTGTTGTGTCTTATGACAGACCCCAAGACGCCAACATCGAGCAAAGGCGCTGTTCCTCGCGATCAGCAGGCGGCCGCCATCATCTCCGGTGCCCTGCAGAACAACCCCACAGCCCTTGAGGAGGTGACTAAAGTGTGGCCCCAACTCATGGAAGCCTCATGCTCCGCTACTGAGGCTAAAGACGTGTTCAAGCTTGGAGACAGCTTCTACGCATCCTTCATGCCCTCGCAAGAGGACGAGTCTCCCGACGGCACCACCGATCAAGAGGTCCTCCGCGCAGTGAACAAAGCCAAGGCTCAAGTCTCCGCTATTAGAGGTCTTCTTAAGAGCCCGTCAATTCGCGACCACTTCATTGCCAACAAGGGCATGGACCGCCTCCTTGAGGTTCTCGCCCCCGAGGATGCCAGGTGGGACACCACGCAGCGCAAGACAGGTCAGCTTGTGCTTGACAGCTTCCTTGACGAAAACATGGGCGCCGACCTGGGAGTTTGGCCTCTCTTCAAGGCCTCTGAGGCGGACACGTCTAAGAGGATCGCCGACCGTGTGAACGATGGCAACTGGAAGGCTGCCGTGAAGACCATTATGGAGCGGAACAAGGGCGACAAGGGCCACTGGAGCAAGGACCTGTACGACAGGTTGGATGCACATGAGCAAGCGCAGCTGAAGAAGCTGGGCAAGCAGGAGTTGTAATGACTATATGTATACTTACTTTAGACGATGATATATACCCACATGTTTTTTGACTGTCAAATCTTGAACAATTGTACTGTACACGTTAAGCCTATGCGTTATATCTCGAAGTAGACATTGACCAGACCTGATGTTGGCGCCCTTGCGGGTCTAATGTAAGGGCTAATGTACGTGGATGGGTGACAGATTGCATCATGGATAGGGCCATAGCTTTATTTTTCTTCTTCTTTTTTCTCAATAGCCATTATGAGGGGCCATTTTAGACAAGCATATGGGCAGAACACATTGACGATTTCACTGAACACGAAAAGTTTGAAGTGCATGTAGTTTTGGTATCTCCATGTCGTTTAATTCATTCCCATTTTGAGGCTCAAACTTTTTAGCGGACAACGATGTTGTATTGAACTACCATTGCCCAAACAACATGATAGTGGCCTTGCCATGCTACCAAAACCATTTCCCATTTCGCCTTGATGTCCGTTTAATGCAAGAACCTCCCTAACACAGCCCACAACCATCCTCTTATTTGAGAGGAATGAAACGAGAAGAGTGAGTAGCACCGATACCGGGTCTACCGTGCTTGACAGGCTTGCTGTAAGGTTGTTAGATGAATGTTCCCTAGGATTCTCTCTGTACAAGAGGGGATTTCGTAGGGACGTACTATGAGATAGAGAACTCTCCCAGGTAGTGACCAACCATCTCGGGCTTGATCTCGACCTGGTTGAACTCCTTGCCGGAGTAGATGCCAATGACGCTGCCAATCATCTCGGGGACGACGATCATGTCACGGAGGTGGGTCTTGACGAGGTCGGGCTTCTCGTTGGGCTTAGCCTCCTGCTTGGCCTTGCGGAGCTTCTTGATCAGGCCCATGGGGCGGCGCTTGAGGCCGCGGTTGATGCGCCGGCGGGCACGGGCGTGGACGACATCACGGAGCTGCTCGGAGTCGAGGTCAAGGAGACTGCAGAGGTACAATGTTAGCTTGGACGGTTCCTTCTCGAGATGGCGATTGATTCGTCGGGGTTCGGGGGGATATGAGGGACAGTCATGATTTAATCATGTCGGCGGTCTCGAAAGGGTGGGTGTATGGGTGTCTGGACGCATGGGTGGGATTTTAAATATGGGCAAAACGTACGCCTCAAGGTCGATTCCGCGGTAGGAGAACTTGCGGAAGGCTCTTCTCTTCTTGATCTCGGCGGCCTCCTCGGCGTTCTGCATAGGTCCTCCAGTCAGCCAAAGATTATTCGACACAGATAGTTGTTGCGCCACTAAAATCCTCCAAACTGCAATCGCCGCGACGGCGCGGTTGTTTCCATCGAACAAGGGGGAGCAAGCAGGTTCGCACGTACGTATTCGTCGTCAGCCATCTTTGCGGTGTTGTGAGGTCAGGGAATTCGCTTTCGATGCGGTCTATCGAGAGCGAATAAGCTGAAGTGCCGGTGGTTGAAGTTTTGGGAGAGCGCTGGGGCTGCGATCGCTTGGAGGTTTCGCTTGACTTGCACCAGCCCAGTAAATTTTGGCTGTAGGGTTCGGTTGCCCTCCCCCCGCAGTCATGTGATTTCAATTTTGCAAAAAAAAAAAAGAAGGGCAGACGTGCTGAGTACGTACCTGTGGGTCGCTCGCGTCGAAGCAGCAGGCGCCCGGGCCTGCCGCCCACGGCGTCCCCTTCTTCTCGTGACCGTCTTTTGAGATTACCGACCGCCGCCATCAGGTCCACTTCGCCGTTGCAAATGCCCTGAATTTCGCATCCACAAATGTCCCGGTCGGTGAGTTTCGGTGAAGGTCGGCCGCTAAGCGCATCTCCAGTTACCTGTGAGTGGTTTTTCTGTGCGTAGCTTGAGTAAACAAACACCCCCAAGTGATTTCCACTGCTCAAACAATCTCAAAATGCCTGCGTGCGAGGCAGCAATGTCATTTCAGTTTCATCACCTTGCTGCTAAGTCCCGGCTGTCAAATCACGCTGGACCTGTTATTATACGTCTCAAATGAACAACCACCATGGCAAGTTTGCGCCTCCCACTGAGCATGGCTTGGGTTCAACCTCTCCGGGTGAGTCAAGATGGCAGAGGATTAATGTGCACGACTTGCAAGAGAAACTTGAGTGAAGAGTTCAGGAAAGGTGGCATACCTCCAGAACCAAAGGTCCTAATCCCTTTTCAATATTGTATTTCATCGGCCTTCCTACGGCGTTGACTGCTAAGAATAGTGTCAAGTATCGTATTGATGTTTCTCCAGTCGCAAGTTGCGCTCTTCAACATTGGGTAGAATAAGAGGCTATATATCATCAACTGTCCGGGATCTGATGTGCATGATCTCCACCCAACATCATTCGCCGTCTTCTTCATCTGCTCTTACAACTTCATAGCTTGTCCGAGGCGAATAGAATATGTTGGCCTACGTTAACTGTCTCAGAACAGCTGAAGATGTACTTGCTCGTTTGGACACGATTAGTAGGACCAACGCTTCTCAATAACGCTATAGCCATGGCTAACCAGAATACTAAAATGTTCATGATTTTGCCAGCACGTTTAGCTACCAGTTCATATCATGTAGATATTGACCACCGGAGCCTGGAGTAGAACAGCCTGCTGGTTACGGCTTTTCTAGCCAGGCAAATACGCTCAACTCAAACAGACCCTTGCTAATCTGTAGGGTACAAAAGAATTATCAAGCGATCAGATGGCAGTGGAATTCACTAGCTCAAAGCATTTGGGTTTGTACATCGCTTAGCGCAAGTCGAACTTCTCTATGTTTGAGATACAAAAGGTGTATCTGGGCTTCGGAGTGTGAGTAATATCGTCCTCCAACCACCAATTTCGAAAACGGCTAATAGTGAAGGCAACAGGAATTTCGATCAGATCCCTTCAACCAGATCTCTTTTATTAAGTGTTTTGAAATCACTCTAGTGGCTTGATGAAGTCTTTTAAAAACCGTGATGGTGTCACTCGACCTTCCGACATACTTCTTAAGCGGCAAGTGTAGGTTCAGTTGATTGATGAAAATCACCGACCAAGATGTTACCCTACGTAAACTTGGGAAACCAAGATTCAACGCGATGGTGGAATTGTTGCCGTTTTGAAATGGTTTGTCACAATGTAGTTTCATTTATAGACATGATTTTGATCGAAACTTATATACCGCTGTTGGTACTCGTGGCACCCAGCTCAACCATATATATACCGGAAGCATTGAAACTATTTACTGCTGAAGAATAAGGCCGTATGATCTTTGTGTCAACGGCACGGACATTTCTGTCCATGCGATCACCGTCTGGTGCTCGGTATGTATGTTTCCTCCCACCCAACTCAGCTACAACACCCTAAATGCTCTTGAACACGTCCAAACTCGACAACGCAGTACCCGGCCACGCAAACATTGTGTTTGACGGGCAGCTGGATCCAAGAGCCTGGTTGTTCATCCAGCTAGGCTCCCAATAGTATAGACCCTTTCCGTTCTTCACAGATGCTACGACGTCGGCGACTCTCTTCACAAAGGTGGTCTGGCCGGCCGCGGAGAAGGGGATATCCTTCAGGTCGCTCGGGAAGGGATACGCGGGGCTCGGGCACGAGGTTGGCCAGTTCGTCTCGGCAACGACAATCTCCTTCCCCCACTTGTTGGCCATGTTGGTAAGGCTCGTCTTGAGGGCGGACAGCGTGGCGCCGCTTCCGTAAAAGGGGTAGTAGGACACGCCCATCATGTCGAAGTCGGTGGCCTTGAGCTGGTTCTGGGCGAGGACGTTTGTGTACCACGTGTTCTGCGTGTTCCAGTCCCAACCGTTGTCCAGATGGATCATTATCTTGGGCTTAGGGCTGAGGGAGGAATCCTTGATGCCCCATGATGCCGAGTTGAGTAGTCTTGCGACGTTGTACCAGTTTGAAGTGCGGCCGGTGTTGAACAGAAGACCCGCGCGGATCTCGTTGCCAATGCTGATGATGGCGGGCGGGACGCCGGCCTTTTGGAAAGCATTGCTGACTTCTAGCGTATAGTTGTACAGCCTCCAGCTCAGGTTCTCGATATCGGATGGCCAGCCTGAGGGAATGCCCTGCTTGCTCGGGTCGGCCCAGGTGTCGCTAAAGTGCAATGTGAGGTACACCGACAAGCCCTGAGCCTTGGCGCGCTTGGCGAGGGCGAGGTTGTAGTTGAGGTTGTAGTCGCCGTTGGACGGGTTGACCCAGACGCGCTGGCGGACGGAGTTTACACCGGCATTCTTGAGGATCTGCTCAAGGGGTTGGGAGACGCCAGCGCTGTTCTTGTAAGAGATGCCGGCCTTCTCCTCGATCGTAACTGAAGACCAGTCGGCGCCCTTGTAAGTGAGTGCCGCGTTAGCCGTGGAGAGGGCAAGAAGGAAGACGGAGGACAGGGAGGCGAGCATCTTGGCGGATCTGATCGGATATGCTCCTGGGTATCCGTTGAGACTCGACTAGAGAGAAAAGGGGAAGGATATTATATCCCTTCTAGCTGTTAGGAAGTAAGCTTGCAGAGATTTGGATGGAGAGGAGAGCTTGGTGACGGCGATTCTGAAAGACCGTATTGTATATATTACTTCGACTCCCCAGCTATACCAAGCCGCATCGCACCCTCCTTCATCTCCTAATTGATGGGATTCCCTGAGCCCATCAGGACCCTCTTCTTCCCGAACTACCGCAGCAATCATTAGTTGCAACTCTTGAGTAGGCGGGAGGGAGCATGTCACCCTTCCAGGGGGGTCTCGTATAACAGGTCAACCCCATGTCGAGGTTTGCTGGCCAGAGTGACAGACAGAGAGGAGTTGACAAGCGTCCCTCTGCCTCAGACAGATTAGCATATTGACCCGAAAGAGCCAACGAACCGCCTGTAGCGACCAGACGCAACGGCAGCTTGTACGCTGTTGAACCACAGTGGGGAAGCATAGCCAGTTTCGACGTTTCATCGCGCAACCTCCTGGGAGGAGGAACTTCTCGACTCCTCCAATCAAACAGCGCCTTCTCCACACTTCATTGCCGTTCCTGGGAACCTGGCGAACGCTTTTTGCAGGCCCCCTATCTACGGTTAACCTGTTTTGTCAGCTTGTTTCCCCCAAATGCCACCAGCTGACGTTCTTTTTTTCGGCGTGTGGTCGTCCGCTTTTAATCTACATGCCGTTTCCGCCATCGCGGCGGGCACCGGGTCAATTTCGAAAAAGGACCGAGCTTAGTGATCTTTCCGGGGTTGAGGTCAAACTATCAGTATGGTTCGATGTTTCAGTCGCCTGTCTCTGGAGGCTGTAAGTGCGGTCCTTTGATAAATGATTAGATGCGCCCGTCGTTTGGGACGGAAGCGAAGGGGCGATGTTGAAATAAGCTTGATCGGAGGAATGATCCGAGCAACCTGTGTAGCCTTTGTTGTTATTGCTTGACCAAATTTCCGGCTTAATATATGTAGAGGCTTTTGCACTTTGCGTTGATATTATGACATGTTCATAACAGAAGCAGTTAAGGGAAGGGTTCGTCTTGTCTGACCTGAAGAGCGGTGCTCCCGTGCATCTGGGCTTGCATATTTGCTCCAGAGCTACGTAGTACATCATTGCTGCCCTTAGTCATGCTTTGGTCTGTCTCTTGTGAAGGGTCGGTCCTATTCAGTTCCCAATCATGCCTTCTCTCACGACTTTCTACCGCAGAGCTGGCGGCGATGTCGATTTGTCTCTTACACTGCCGTCGAAACGGAAGCGCACCAATATAACCGTATAAGCCCGTTTCGGCAATTATGCTACGTGTACATCTTTTGTCCAGATGAAGAACTGCTACTCACGAATAATCATGGGTCTCCGGCTTTTCCATCGGCCTAAATTCCGTTGCCGGACAATGACAGGAGCGCATAATCCGAACACCTCGCACACTCACACTCGGAGCTTAAACTTCCAAACGCCAAAAGGGCGCAAAGTCACTACATACCAGTACAACGGACACACCCGTTCACCAACTCATGCGCTCCAAAAGGCTAAAAAATCGCAAACAGCCCATTCGCACGTCACTTGCGACGTCCAACTCAAAACAAGCCGCAGAAGCGCACAAACCCAACCTTGAGGGATGGACTCAGAAACTCAGCACACCATCGCTTGCAAGCTCCCTCGCTAAAACTTCCCAAACAACCACAGAACATGTTCTGACCAGCTCAGCCTGGTGAGATTTCCGTACCAGCCAGGAACTCGAGCTCGGCAAGTCAGTGTCAACCTTAAACCATCTACCGGACACCTCGGCCGGGAAAAAACAGCCCCCATCTCATTTCTTCACACTCTGACAGAGGTGGAAGGGGGGCAAAGTCGGAGCGAAGAGCCGTAAAGTATTACCTCGGCGAATACTCCATCCTCTCGGGAGAGGCAAAGGCGCCAAAAGAAGCTATACACACGAGGGCATGAACATCATGGATCAACGGCAGATCTGCAATCTGTAAAACTCTTTAGACTTTAAAGCGTACGCGTCCGATGGCTGATCAGAACTAAACACCATCCAGCAACCATGTAAACCCTATCCCCCCTTTAACGCAAACGAAGAGAAGAAGAAAAAAAAAAGACATCCAAAAAGTCCCCGGTGCAATTGCCGTTCCAAACACTTCGTCCCGCAACCCGTCGAGTCAGTGTCAACCGCGCCGCAGCCGGAGCATGTCCTCCTTGTCCTAGGCGGCCCGACGTCAACCAACTTCCTCGCCCAACCCGGCGAGATTGCTTCTCCGCCCCTCGCACTCCTTCTCCCTGCCGAAACAGCATCAACCAAAACATATTAGATACACACTCACGGAGCCCAGCCGACGAACTGCTTAACGAAAAGGGAAACTCGATCGTACCACAGACGTACATCGTGTTATAACCATGATAACCCGAGAGCGTCGCTTGTCGACCATCGTCGGCATCGTCACGCGTCACGGAAGAATGGTTAGATGCAGTCTCCGTCATCAGGATAGGATGACAAGTTACTTTAAAAAAAAAAAAGTGACGTATGAAGTTTATATCCGAGAGTCTAATTATTACATCTTACCCAACCAGCCGGATGTAGTCTCTTATATCATTTTCCAATTGGGTCTTTCAAGCGTGTGCGGGCCACTTCACAAACAGATCATCCAGCGGACCGGTCAAATCACATGGCTGCGCGGATTACACGTTCCTCGGCACCCAGAACCTCGGAAGACCGTGACGGAAGAGTGGTGGGGGGTTAATAGACGGACGAGGACAACCACGCTATCCCGTCCGAACCAAACAAAACTGCTGTCAATTGCGCAACCCAGATGGCATGTTTGACTAGACTCATGACAATTCACAAGTCTGTTCGCTTTCCCGAGACGTCTCCAAGGGAACACCCAGTTCCGGAAACTGCTGATATGCCATGTGATGCTCGTGATGTCATTTCAATTTCGTTTGTTAAGTTGTTTTTCATAGTAGAAACAGGAATCGTGAAAAGAAGGGAAAAAAAAACAAAAAAAAAAAAAACAAAAAAAAAACAAACAACGCTATGCTCTGTCCGAGCTGTTCCAGGCTGTAGAACCCCGCTATCAGCCCTTTGTGTATACCATATATATCATGTAGAACACCGTTTGAACAAGATAAAAATCAAAATCAAAAGACCGGTACCCGTTGCTGTAAACGTAAGACAGTTCATGACCCGATTCCTTTTCCCTTTTATGTCGTAATGGATCCGCCATAGATAGATGCTCTCTTGGCGGCCTGTGATCCGCAATAATAGACAGATGAACCCCCAAAAAAGCAACCCAGATAACTCTGCACCTCGAATGCTCCGTGCCTTTTGCTCTGGCCGTTTCCCTTGAGGCTCTAAACTCCCCTCCCGGTTTCCAAACTCCCTGACCGTCTTGTGTGCCTATTAGATCACTCGATCCAAAGATATCCCCAGTGTGATATTTACAAATGAGAACGATTTTCATTTGTTTCGTGTTCGCGTCATAGCCAGCTGTTCCGCTTACACCGCATGCGTAGGGACGGGCACCGGGATGTTTTGTTGCCTTGCGAATACACCCGTCAAAATTTCAATGTGGTTGACAAACGATTCGTTACTCATGTTGTTTCCCTTTTCGGCCTTGCTCTCCTCGGTGACCCAGTCCGAGCCCCAAACCTCGGGCGGTATGATGGAGTGCTTGTAGAGGGCGATCCTCACGGGCCACTCGAGGTGTCCCCACCACGGGCTGGTGGCTTCGAACTGTGACACGATACCCATGACCTCTCTGCGCGAGACGCCTTCCAACCACCAGACGGCCGACTCGAAGCCCTTGAGCAGCGCGAAAAAACAGGCCAGGATGGCCAGGGCGCGGGGTCGGCGCTCCTCCAACAACTCAATGAAGCGCTTCGATACCGTGGCTGGGAAAGCAAGAGCAGCGCCACGGTGAGGCAGTTTGTGTGCCCAGTTGAGCACGGCCACGGCGTGTTGATACGACTGCCTAGTAGACATGGCCAGGATGGCGTCTTCATTTCGCAACTCCTCATCCATGTTCTCTAGCAGTTTGCCGAAGAAGGAAGTCGGAGAGGTGGCATCCAGGTCAAGTTGAAGAACGGGCTGCGAGTCGATGATGGGGATGACAATACCGCTATTCCGGATCCATGGCCATGAAGTCGCTACCACCGTCTTGACGCCCTGGAACGCATGGAACCAAGAAAGCGGTAAGGAATAAGCGCTGGAGGGATCGTTCGGGTCAGCCTCGTCGCGAATGAAAATCCGTGTGGCGGTCGATGAAAAGGCGATGAGAGCGGCCGTAAGGAACAGCGACTCAGCATTTGACTCGGTAATACCGTTTTGCAAGCATGAGCAATAGGCGGCCAGCGCCGATGCCATGTATGAGTGCGACGCCCTGATTAGAGCCCCGTCATCTGGGTTGAATGAGCGCAAGTGCAGAGCAGCAACAGCGAGCATGGCGTCGGCGAGGTAGCTAGCACCACTGAAAGCAAGTCTCGGTACGGTATTTTGCCATATATCGTGAGTCGCTGGGGTGTTCACCACCAGAGTATGGGAGGTCATCGAGGTGAATTGGTGCATCAATCGCAATTCTAGAAGCCGATTATTGGGCGAAGTGGTGGCGGACATGGCGGCGTTGGAAGGTGTGGTATAAAGCGGTGTGCAGGCGGCAGTGGGAGGTGAGGCTCCTTGCGTGATGGACGGCGTCCTGGTTCGGTAAGATGGTCCTGCAGATAGGGAGGGCGCAGTGGAAGATGCTCTCTCGATGGGGGATTGTGAGGATGTCGTATTGGAGGGGGTCAAGGCGGTGAGGATGTCATCAAAGATATCGGGATTCTCAAAGTCGCACGATACGCCATGCTTCACGCAGTTGCCACATCTTGGGTGAACTTCATCGCACTATTCACAAGTGAGAGGTTAGACATTGCTTATGGCGAGTGTTGTAAAGCTGGCGGGAAACAGGTGCAGGAGATGTGTTGTACGAGAGACGACAACAACAACAAGGTGGAGGCGACGTTACCTTGATCTTGCGCGACTTGCACCGTTTGCAGCCAGCTCTCGACTTCTTGTGAGATCTCCTAGGTGGCATTGTGACGGCGTGGGGGGGGGGGGGGGGCGATTGGTGCTGATTAGAGACACGGGTAGCAATCCAACAATCGATAGACAGTCGGGGGGGTGGTTCCACTCTATAAAGTCAAAGGGGGGGTTGTTTTGTTTTTTTTCACGTGTTGTTAACGAGGCGGGCAGAATTGACGTCGTCTTGGTCTCGGAAGAGGGGGCTTAGCGATGACAGGCCGAGACGCATGACAGAAGTCCAAGGCTTGGTGAAGATGCGGGAGCTAGAAGTAGATGGGGCGAACTTGGTGTCTTTAAAGGGCTGACAGACGCGAAGAAAGCATGAAATAAACGGAGCGGGAAGTGGAAAGAGAAGAAGAGCGGAGTGTGTGACGGCGTCGAGGTTTCGGGGGCAGAGGAAGATTGGACAAAGTTGTAATGGTGGAGATGGCGATTCGGGGTCTGGGGGGGTTCCTTAGTCCGAGCATGAGCCTGGTCTGCTTTTGGGGGACCTCCACCAACCCAACGCATGCCTCATAAAAAAGAATAAAGTGAGAGGCCTGGAGAGGTGACAAGGGGGTAGGGATGTTTAAGGCAAGGTGAATGCGGGAAGGTGTTGTTAGTACGGGGTGGGTGGCAGAATAAGGCCGGTGCTGGGTCCGGGTGTAAGTACTTTTGTAGTAGTAGTAAGTCGACCAAACTGGAATAGAGGTGAGAGCAAGGTGATGATAGTGCCCCGTGTGGGTTTGTTCTGCAAGTGAGCGAATACCCCCGACATGTGTGTCATTTTTTCGGTCGGGGACGGGTGCCCAGTCCAACTCAACTCAAGTTTCAAGGTGGGAGGCAGAAAAAAAAAAAAAAAAGGGAGGACGTTTTTGTTAGCGTCAAAGCCGTTGCCCGCTGACTGTAGGGCAGAATAGTGGTGGGATGGATGGGAGGTGTGGGAGGACACACGGAATTCGGTGCGGTGTGGTGGAGAACATCTAAGGTTGCTGAGGAATAGAACACTGACATTGGCTGCACTGATATTTGCCCACGGTCTCTGTCAATTTGCCGCCCCACAACTACTAGTACTACATAGTAGTTGTTGTAGTGTGTAAAGTACTTGTCGTAGTGTAGGAAACTGTGCACATTGCGTACACTGCGTACACTAGCACCGACCGACCCTACCAACTTTCCGCCCTAGCTACCCGTTGATAGGGAAGGGTACTTGGCCAACCGCCCCCCCCCCTAGCGTACTCCCCTCTCAAAGTCCCTAATGTGGTGATTGCGAAGCCCATTCAGCTCTTCAAGGGATATTGCGTCTGTCACTGTCATGCTCAGCCACGCCATGGCCCACATGGCCCACGATCCACGGAGCCGGAGAAGGAAAAAGTGGATTCGGCAGCGGAATCAACGGCGAGCCTTGCCCTGCTTCAGTGTCACCAGGGTGTTGTCTGCAGCCATCTTGTGCCACTTGCAGCGGGGTCTAACAATTTGTTGCTCTTACAGTCCCTCTTGTATCAGCACTGGTATGTTCTGCCTGCATCGAATCGGTAACACCGTACCGACATGACGCCTATTCGCCCGACGTTGTGGATGCACCTAGGAGCTGTCAGTTGTTTGAAGTCTTGAGGAATAACACAAATTATTTATAAAAGGGAAAAAAAGAAAAGAAAAAAAAAAAGTAAACAAAAACAAACAAAAAATCAGATCTGGGTAAATTTGTTTACACATGTGATTTACCTCGATCCTCTCTCATCCTGTCGAAAATTAAGATACGAGCTACGCGTACGAATCCGACACATCGGCCCTGGTCCCCGTCCATCAGCCAACACAGCACTGTATGTACTGCTGGCAACGCCTAATGCCAGGGCAGAACGCAGAAATCATGCCAAACAATGCCAGCAAAATGCGAGATCTGTCGCAGGGATTTCCTCACCTGCCGCAGGGCCTTGACAGCCACCTCCACAGCTTTGACGTGTATTTTGCCCGATCCCGATCTATCTAAGCTAATTACCCTAGAAACTTGTAGTAGTGTAATAACCGATTCCCCATGCTTCTTCTGCTTCAGTCCGCCGAGAACTGACAGTGAAAAGACCGTTATGGCACCAGCATCCCTGCGCGGCGTTTCGCTTCATGAAAGAGGGGCAGAGATTGCGGCCGAGACAGCGGCACAGTGAGACATGTATCCCACTCGGAGCAGCGGGCGGCTGGACGGGCGGAACGGAAAAAAGAGGTCAGGGGAACGTGAGTTTTGCTGCCAAACTCTGGCCGTTGACGTTCTGGTCCCTGTCCTCATGATCAATCCATTCACCTCTGATAGACCAGGAGGGTGTGAAAGCCGTCTACTAGTAGGCATGAGTGGAGTCATCTTTGGCACATACTTGCCCTGCTCTTGCAGAAACCACCGTGCGCTCCCTTCAGCCCTGCTGCAACATGCTCAGTGGCCCAACCACTTGGCCGCTGCAGTCGGCCGATACTTCCAAAACTTCTTACGCCGGCACTGTTGCCGGAAGTCAGAGTTCGAGAACATGATTCGGGAAGCAAGACAATCCTGGCCTCGAGCAGTTTGGGCTGCTACTACTTAGTATGTGCCCTACAGCTGTATGACAACGAGGTACTGCAGGCAGTGCAAGTCGGACGAACGAGACTGATGATGCCGACTCCGATTCCATTGCCCAAAGGATGCACCGAGCCCCGGCCAAAACCCCCTTCGTGGGTGAGTGTGGTGGTGGACGGCGACCCGCGATCTACTTCTCCATCGGCAGATGAACGCGGGTTGCTTTCAAAGATGGTGCATCACAGTGGATGGGTTCGCGTTTTGGCGTTGTTGATAAACTTGCCTAGTGGCTGCATGTTTCTATCCGTTCTGAATACACGTGTCGTCGATATATCTTACTGCTATGATCTGCGATCTACTAGTGCCGACTTGGGATGCCCCCCAATGCCAAACGGCGACGGCCACGGACAAATCAGCGAGCCACAAGATATCATGCAGTAAGCTGGAGGTGGTACGCGCAGGTACATGGTGGCCGTCATTGGATCGGAGGGCAGACCATCCGAGTGGTGTGACGGGAAGGGGCTGACGTAGATCTGAGAGGCTTGGACAGCGGTGATAAGCCGCACATGCAAATTGAAACATCTTGGGGTTGCGTGGAGGGTTCAAGGTCGTCCCAGGTGGTCGCCTCGGGCAGTTGGTCTGTGAGGAGCCTATGATACATGGCATCGAATCAAGGGTTTCTAGAAGACCTTGCTACGGGCAAGCCCGTGGTTAGTGTGGCGCTGCAACCCAGAGAGGCTGTTTGGGAACATCCCAGGAATGTTCCGCCTGCTCCCCCTCCAAATGTCGGACATTGACAACGCCTGACAAGATCGATGTTGAGTGGTGGATGGAAGGAGTCAATGTCACCATAAGTGTCACAATAATCGGGCACAGGCCTTGGCCCAAAAATTGACGCTTGTCAATCTCTTTTGATGATGGAAGTCAATGCTTTCTTTGCTGGCGATTTGGACGCCATATTCGCTGCTGCCACGAGCCTCAACCGCATCGAACTGTGTCACATTCCTCGTCGTTGCCGTCAACTTTGCCTCAGACTTGAACCTGCTCAAGGTCCTGTCAGCCGCAATGTCCGAGTACCAAACTGAAGGAGAATAGACGTGGTGATGCAATTCGGCAGCCCCGTAAGCTCGTCCGTTCTACCAAAGGTTTTTTCCGGTAAGCACTTCGTCCGTGATCATCGGTGATGACGGACAGGAAGCGTTTACAGAACAGGTACTGCCTGTCAGTGAGTTCTTGACCGAGTCATTGTGTTTCTATCACCAGTGACCTTCGCAAGTTGCTGGGATGTCCAAGCCATCAGTGAGGTGGATTGATGTAAAAAAAGAAACATAGCCCGAAAGGGATTAGACCGCACTTTTTGGTAGAAGTTGAAGGTTCAAAGCGACATTCTCTAACGGGGTCTCCTTATGTAAGACGAGCGGCTGTCTTTCCGCAGCCCGAGTGAAAACAACTAAGAGGAAGGGACGATATATCCAGGCGGTCCCCAGCCCGTCGCATGTTTTGGCAAGTCTGGATCCCTCAGAGCTAGCAGCGAACGGCGGCGCCTCCCACCAGTTCCACGTCATGCCCAGACTCATCTGAGAAAACAACCTTAAGGGAGATCACACCTTAATGTGACCTCTCCGCCGTTGCCGCCAACGTGATGAACCAGATGCAGCTTTTGTGCTCCTGACGCTGGAATATGCGCGAAAGACCTTCCCATTTGGGAAATCACCGGCCTCGTGATCCTTGGGTCGATATCAGCACGTGGAAAAAAAGGCCCTCGCCTTGCAGTGGACTCTGTGACATGGCGGATATAATCGGTATGGATAAGCCTGGCGCGCCTAGGAAGGTTGGTGGCCAGTAATTTGTCACACGAGTGAGTTGGTTGAGATTAATAACAACCTGTCAACAGTAGCTGGTGCATTCGCAAGCGTATGCGATACTTTGCGTGTTTGAAAGGCAGACAGAGTTGACAGTCAAGACACGAAGCTTGGAGCAGGTAAAGCAAACATCAGACTTTTGAGTGAAGCATTTCGTCAACGTGGACATTGGTAGAAAGCCAGCAGGGTGCACCTGCAGGGGTGTGTGGCGGGGCCAGGTGTACCTTGATGAAGATGATGTAAGCGACGCTATTAGTCAACGAGTTGTCGGAGGGCCGAGGCTGGCCGTCTGACCCCACCCTTCCCGTCGTCTCTCCGGCCGCTGTTCTCCGCCGCCGTTCTCTTTTTTTTTTTTTCAACCTTTGAGGGGCCGCTCTTCTCTCAGTTATCTTATGCATGCAACGTTTGACAGACTTGTGGAAAGATAGGAAAAAGTGGGAGTCGCAATAGGAATAATAGCAGAACAGTTTTAGAGAGAGAAAAAAAAAAAAAAAGGAAGAAGACGACTAGAGGAATGATGATGACAGGGGGACAATGAAAACATCCTGTTACGCCGTCAGCCATGTATACCACTACCTTGGTCTAACCCGCTTCCAGAAATACTTGCTGTCGGCCCAGGGTCTCAAAATTCCATTCTCAGCACATGGAAGAATTAGATATGTCAGCATGCGGAACCAAGACCCCGAAGTCCCCTTGTTATTGCCGACCGTACCGTGCTGCAGCTCTTTACCAGCTGCCAATCGTAGCGATAGCAGCAAAGACAATCAGAGCCAGACAGGCAACTGTACACTATGCAGCTGTGTGTCCTCACAGGGCGGCAGGGCGCAAACTCTACATTGTGCATCATCGGGATTTGCAATGACGGAAACCCATCGAACCGTGTTTATCATCAAACTCGGCTTTCTCAGCTTCACCGTCAGCTCAGCTCTGGAACGAAGCATTAGAGCGGTGTGTCGCCAAATCGAAGGCGTCATCCAGCCCCCTTGGTATAAATGTCATTTCTTTTCTCCACGTCTTCTAGACTTTCCCGATCAAACCGATCGACCTCACATGCAGCCCCGTTCCCGTGGGAATCCCTTACCTTCCAACCTGCCTACAAGAGCTCAGTGCCTTGCATAGCTCCGGATTGCGCCATTCTCACCATCCACTCGCAACCCCTCTGACCTCTAACTTACCTCACTCAACCGTCGTATCCCGCTCTTGCTCCCCGCCAAAATATTAAAAAAAAAGATTAAACACGTACCACTCCATACTTGACGATAATAAATAGACGCCCAATTAGCATCTGCCATTCCTGCACTCCCTCCTCAGCACCCATTGAACTTCCAAATCAGCTCATTGACTCACTCTAAACACCGGAAACCGCCTCTTTGGTCAGCAGGCGCGCGATTGCGTGATCGATTCCTATCGGAGCTTGGGGCACCCCCGACACAAAGCACCGTCGCTTTTTTCAGTCGCCGGAGGAGCGGGGCCATTCCCACTCTGACCTACGGATACAGGAACGAGACGTCCTCTTTTTTTCTATAACATACAAGAAATTCAGCGAGACCCCGCGGCGGATCCGGTTACCATCGTCTTTATTCGCACACAAACTCCTTGACTGAAAATTTTCTTCTCGGATCCTCTTCTTTTATTCTCCCTTTCCCCCTTTCCCTTTTTTTTTTATTTTTTTTTTTTGACATCGAAGAAGTAAACTTTCCAGAAGATCGTCCTTCTTTGATGCAAGATTCAACATCCCCCCTCCTCCATTCCCCCCTCAAAGTACCTTCAACAGCCCCTCCATCACCGCAGTCATGACCGTCCCCGCCGCCGAGCACCCCATCGAGACCCCTCCTCGGGCGCCTTCTCCCGTTCACAACTTCGGTACCCTCGCCGTCCACGCCGGCTCCCCCCATGACCCTGTGACCGGCGCCGTCATTGAGCCCATCTCGCTCTCGACAACCTTTGCTCAGCACAGCGTCGGTAAGCCCGTCGGTGTCTACGAGTACTCGCGCTCCAGCAACCCCAACCGCGACAACTTTGAGCAGGCCGTCGCCGCTCTCGAGCACGCCAAGTACGCTCTTGCCTTCTCCTCGGGCTCGGCTACTACCGCTGTGGTTCTGCAGTCCCTCGCCGCTGGATCCCATGTCATCTCCGTCTCTGATGTTTATGGCGGCACCCACCGTTACTTCACACAGGTCGCAAAGGCCCACGGTGTGAAGGTCACCTTCACCCCCGAGATCGAGGTCGACATCTCCGCCCACATTACCCCCGCTACCAAGCTCGTCTGGATCGAGAGCCCCTCCAACCCGACCCTCCGCCTTGTCGACGTCCGCGCCGTCGTCACCCAGGCCCACAAGCACGGCATCCAGGTCGTCGTCGACAACACATTCCTCTCCCCCTACGTCCAGAACCCCCTGGACCTCGGCGCCGACATCGTCGTTCACTCTGTCACCAAGTACATCAACGGCCACTCCGACGTTGTTATGGGCGTTGCCGCCTTCAACTCGGATGACCTCAAGCAGCGCCTCGGCTTCCTCCAGAACGCCATTGGCGCCGTCCCCTCCGCCTTTGACTGCTGGCTCGCCCACCGTGGTCTGAAGACTCTGCACCTGCGCGCGCGCGAGGCTACCCGTAACGCCACTGCCGTCGCCGAGGCCCTCGAGGCTTCCGAGAATGTCATCGCCGTCAACTACCCCGGCCTTGACTCCCACCCCCACCGCGCCATTGCCAAGAAGCAGCACCGCGACGGCATGGGAGGCGGTATGCTTTCTTTCCGCATTCGCGGCGGCCACGCTGCCGCTGAGCGCTTCTGCCAGCTCACCAAGATCTTCACCCTTGCCGAGTCCCTGGGTGGCGTCGAGTCCCTCGTTGAGGTTCCCAGCAGCATGACCCACGCCGGTATCCCCAAGGACCAGCGTGAGGCCGTCGGTGTCTACGACGACCTTGTGCGCATCAGCTGCGGTGTCGAGGACGCCGACGACCTGCGCCGCGACGTGCTCCAGGCCCTTGACCAGGCTGTCAAGGAGCAGAACGGCACCAACGGAAAGAACGGTGTCAACGGACATTAGAAAAAAAAAAAAGAGCCAACAAAGCGAGAAAGAACGAAGAATAAACCCGAACATTTATGGGGTTACCTAGGGGGGACATGAATTCATCTTCAACAATCTATCATAGCGAGCGAGCCTTTGGGATGCCGCCGCTGAAATAGTTTTGGGTGGCTGCACACGTGTTTTGTGTTTTTTCTCTTTTTTACCTATTTCCACGTTTCACCGTGTGCTCGAACAAGAACGAAAAGAGGCTCCTTCGACGCTCTAGCATCTCATATGTTTTTCTTTTTTCTTTCTCCATCATGACCATCATCATCATCATCAAAGGGCAAAAAAGGGGGCATAAGGCATTAATGAGCAATTGATTTCTAGAACAGGAGAGTGGGTATTATGAATATCCTCACAAAAAAAAAACTCCGGATGAGACCCATGATATCCTGGCCAACGCTGCCAATAAAAAAAAGAATACCATTTGCGCCGTTTAAAATTTGACCCGATGAACTCCGTGCTTGCAATGATTCGGTTCCTTGTAGAGAGATATTAATTGCGTTTGAACTTGACTTTCGACGTGATGGCTGGTCTACTGGTAAGGCAGGTTAACCGCAGCAGAACGCTTCATTCTTCTGCGAAGTTTAGATTAAGGAGGTTTTCGGCGAGTCCTCCTCCACCACCAGCTCCCCCTCCAGCGCTGCCGTCCTCTCCATTATCAGCGCCGTCATTGTCACCCTCCGCTCCCTGGTTCATATGTTCGTTACGTTGTCTTTGGATCTCATTCATACCCTGGCACGCCGTTTCGGCAATGTAGTGCAGCTCCTCCAGCGTGCCGCTGTTGCAGTTCGGGAACACACCATCGATACTGCGCTGCCAGCCGCTAGTGGCATTACGTACGGCTGTTTGGTAGGCGTTAACGTCGTACTCGGTGACTCGCAGGGCACGAGTACGCGGCCGGTTTTGTGTCAGAAGGTGGTCGTTAGTTTCGAGAACGGGTAGATAGCACACAGGTGTGCCGTCCGCCTGCGGCGGCTGGTAGTATCCGAGGACAACCTCGACAAAGCGCTGGGCAATAGAGCGGCCAAGTCCGCAGGGATCGACGAAGTCGAAGTCCGGCGAGGAGGGGGCCGGCGAGGGAGGCAGGTCGTCACGCGTGTATAAGTCATAACCCAAGAACGAGGCGCGGCAGGTTCGGAGGTTGGGGCAAGATTCGCGAATGATCATGGCAATCCAGTCGTCGTCGATACCTGGGCGCTGGTTGGGGAGACCGACCCAGAGGATCTGCTTCGAGTCCTCGTTTAGACCCTGTCCTTGCTCAGCTTTAAGGTAAACCTCGTTGAGGTAGAGCTCGCGGAGGGTGCAGCCGAAGTTGCGGGCAGCGCACCGTAGGGCCTCAGGGTGGACTTCTACGCGCTTTAGTTCTAGGGCTGTGAGACAGGGAAGTACGACCTGCGGGGGCGGTAAAGCGCGGGCACGCCACTCGTCGAGCGTCATGTTCCACGCTTTGGTTTGCTTTAGACCGCGCGGCGGGCGGTCATCATCAGTGCCAGAGAGGCAGAGGGACTGAAGAACATCGGCGTTGCGTATGAGATCCCACAGACACGTGCCATAGAAGGCCACGCGGGGAGGATCGACTTCGTGACGACGGAAAGAAATGACTAGATGCTCGAGCTCGATAATAGCGCGCATGATAGCCAGCACGTCGGAGGGGTTGGTCCAGAGATCGACAACGGCCTGATATGATACGTTTTCGAGGACGAGTGTCTTGAGAGGGAGGGAGTCCTCCGGGCGACGAGAGAACGCGGAGAAGGTGTTTGCGAGTATCATTGTCGCGGCATTGCAACGGTGGCCGACGAGCTGAAAAGGAAGGTTCAGGCGGAGGGAAGACACGAATTGACAGTTGAAAAGGACTGTTTCGAGAGTTTGTCGGTAGTCTAGCGTCGTGAAAGAGGTCGGCGACATACAGTACTCTCGTTGGAGGGTCTGGACGAAGTTCTTCATAGAGGGGATGCGATCGAAAATGGTGGAGAGAAACTCGACTTCCACTGGGGCAAGTTAGCTGCAGCTCACGCGTACGATAGATTTAAACGCTTTCATATGCTTACATTCGTCACGAAGAACCATCAGGTCGATATACATGGACTTGCAGTGGTACCCAATCGTCTGGAGGGCATCGAAATCGGGCTGCCGCCGTCGGCTCGTCTTGCTCAGCCGGCTGAACTCGATGGCTATTGTCTGGCACGCGTAAGGCTTGAGGAAGCGATCAAAGGCTCTACACACGAGGCGCAAGCCAAGGACATTATTTCGGCGTCCCAACGAGACGCATTGTTGAAGGATGGTATCGATGAGCTCGCGGGGAAGCGACTCCATGGCGAGGTCGTAGGGAGGCTCCGATGTGGAAGTAGTCCTTCGTGGGTTGGGAGAATTCGATGCGTCTTCTGGCTGGGCAGTAAGGATGATGCGGTGGGCAACCAAATGAACAAGACAATTGGCGCCGAGTCCGATTCACGCGCAGGCCGTACCTTGGTGAATGGATCGTGGGATGAAGCTTCAAGGATTCTCTCCGTAGGCCAACAAGATAAGATATGTCGGGCCCCGGTGGTGTTGGAACCAGCGGTCGGAAACAGGACCTGTCTGGGACAATCCGATAGGGGAGCTTGGGCTTCGGTGTCACCTCAGTCTGGCGCAACGTGCGCTAAGGCACAACAGGGGTTCACCCGTCAGAGGTCCCCGCATCTCACATCAGGGGTCCTAGACAGCTTTAGCAATGAGCTACAGAGCGTCGACTCCCCCGCCGCAACTTTGACCACAGTTGCATGTATCAATTACAAGGGAATTATTCTTTACCCATCCACAAATGACACGTCTTTTATGTATATAGATCTATATACTAGTGTAATTATGGTTAGAATTGCACCAGACAACACATCTGTTGGTTCAGTAAACCCGCTAAGCTGTCGGCTCAATCTCACCCGCGAACCTTGCTAGCTCATGCAGGCTCTTAGACCCATGACACTGGCATGTGGTTTGACCCCAAACGCCATACTGTCAAGGTCCAACTTAGCCCTCCCAGCCATGCCGCCTGGCGAACCACTTGACAAAGTATACCAGACCCAGGAGCACAGGCACCTCGATCAAAGGGCCAACGGTCGTGGCCAGAGCCTCATCTGAATCGGGCCCGTAAGCAGCCACTGCGATGGCGATAGCCAGTTCAAAGTTGTTGCTAGCCGCCGTAAAGGCCTGCGTGCACGCAAGACCGTAGCGAAAACCCAACCTGCGGGCGACGAGAAGTGTTGCGGAGAAGATGACTGAAAAGTAAACCACCAACGGTGCAGCTACTCGCACGACGGAGACAATCTGGTGGATTACTTGGGACCCCTGTGAGGCGAAGAGGACGATAATGGTGTAAAGGAGGCCGATGAGAGACCATGGTGCCAGGAAGGAAATGACTTTGTTGTAGTCTTTGAGACCGATCGTGGAGAGAAGAGTGAGGCGGGTAAGGATCGCGGCGCCTAGGGGAATTCCCAAGAAGACACCTACGGCGGAGGCGACTGTCGAGTAAGAAATCGAGGAGATGCTTTTGTCCTGCCCGATAACGCGTATGAAGAGGAGAGCGACGGGAGCAAAGAGGACGATTTGAAGAAACGAGTTGACCGCTACTAGAATGGCACAGTAATTGCCGTCTCCTTTGGCCTACAAAATCATAAGTTTTTTTCTGGGATATAAGGTAAACTGACAGTAGCACTAACCAGGCTCGTCCAGATTAATACCATAGCTATGCATCTGGCGATTCCCACGAGGATAAGGCCGTTACGCAGGCCCTCTTTATCAGGTAGAAATGCCCATGACAGTGCGAGCTTCCAAGGGGTGTTAATATTGCATTGCCGAGAGTACCTCCGTGTTCATTGCACTGACCATGAATAAAGGCGCGACTATCCAGTTGATGATAATGCTGAAGCCCAGCTGTATCCAAATCTCTCTCGTCCGGAAAATCTCGTGCAGCTTCTCGTACTGCACCTTGCACAGAATTGGATACATCATGACCAGCAAGCCGACAGCTATAACCTATTAGAGCAGTCTCATCACGCAGTGGGATGCAGAGGCTTGCCTATGGGGACAGAAACTCCAACAAATTTTCCTTGTTGAAGAGCTGGGCCTGCACTTGGAACAAAATTTCCGAGCAAAATACCGATCAACATGGCAAGAAAGATCCAGACTGCTAGAAATCGATCGAGAATACTGAGGGATTTAAATATCGATGATTCCTCGGGCGCATCGTTCGTTTGAGGATGTTGCTGTTCAACATCACAACTTCCGCCGTTCTCATTTGACTTTTCGAAAGGATGCGTTGGGCTGTTGACGGAGCCTGATTTCGACGTCACAGCAGTCGACATATCTGAATTAAATGCCATAATTATGGATTATAATTAGAAAGAAATGGCAATTGTAAAATGCCGAAAGCAACTTCTGGTTTCGTAGTATGTGTAGGAAGCCAGGAAAGTTACTTGGGGATGGCACTGAGGTGATATCCATTTATTTTTCGTTACTGACCAATTAAACACAAGGAGTGACATTTCATCTAAAGAAACCGCCTTCTAGTTTTTACACCATGGACAAACCAAAAACGGGCTGCTGTAGCGAGCCTTGCAAGAGGACCCAAATTTTTTTGAAACACAAACAAAGCATTTGTACTTTGATTATCAACATTGCTTAAACATAAGTTAGGCATTTTCGGCAATTGGCCACAGAGGTTGATTTGGCGCCTTTGTTTGAGATGGCATCCCCTAGGCCACAAGTTGCTACTTCCCATATATAATTCCCTTCCCTTTTAGTTTCTGCCAGAGTGTGTTCAGAATCCCTTGGGGTGAAAAGGCGAGCTTTGATGTGTCGCTAGCAATCAGGTTTTGAGCTGAATGCCGTTTTGACAGGTGCTTCATCAAGCTAGGACCCGGACAAATACATTTAATCTGGCTCCGCACTTCAGCTCCCGCCTCATTCATGCAATGTCCCGAACGATTCATACGGCTAAGCTGGGGAAGTCCAAGACAGCGATACAATGCCGACATGAAACCGAAAGACCCCTTAATCAAGTTATATAAACAACTTGCTACCAGGGAGCTCCTTAGCAGTCCATTAGGAAGCACAACCGTTGCCATAGTAGTAGCTCCTGCCTGGAAACTGGCATAGAGGGGAACCCTTGAAGCTGCTGGCTGTACTTGACATACTACAGTATTCGAAAGGGTGGCCCAGTAATAGCGAAAGGATTGTCGCTTCAGGTCCTAGTTTGATGCATGTTGCCCCGGAGACATTTTATATGGGATTTTCTAGAGGGTGGGTTCTCTCGGCTCCTTTCCAAGGGCTATGATCATCTTACAGCAATCAAGGTAAACCTTCTTTCCATGACTACAATAATCCTGCTGCACCTTGTGTGCTTCTGTGTGGAAAAGCACACTCCCCGCATCGGTCCCAACACCATCGTCTGATCAAAACAACATTGGCCATGACAGCGAACGTGGGAGACCCCTGTTCCATCAAAGTGCACGCCGCCCAACGCCGATGCTAGGCACCTTCCATCTGGTTCATCGGGCCGAGACACCTCCCGAAAATATCGCTTTGTTGCCCCACTTTTCCTACTTTGCTAAAAATCTCTGTCGCAATGGACATCCTCACAATTTTCTCCTTCCTTCATCATCCGATACACAACCCGGGAACTGGTGTTGCGAACGCAATACACCTCAGACACTTGCGTACGTCAGCGTCGATCGCCCATCCGGCCAAGTCAAAGGGGACAGTGGAATCCCGCCTCAAACGTTCGTCATTCCTACATCAGCGCAGGATCGTGTTGCACCACGCGCGGAAGCCAAAGATGAGAGGTAGGGAAGTTCCCATCATTTGCTAATTCCAAATGGTGACGCGCAACTACCTACCTCACGGTGAATGCAGCAACACTTCAGCATCCAAGGCTGATTGGACACCTACAATGGCATCCTAGAATTCGGGATCTGACCATAGGTGCACTGGCAATGTTTGAGGCCCGGCGGAGGACCTCCCCACGACTCCAGGATGGTATCACGTTCGCGCGTTGACTCCCCAACCTAGCCGCCCCTGAGGATGATTCGGCAAGGCGTAACTCTAGGCTCAGGCTGGGGATACAAGACGCGCAGACACGACCAAGTCTGCGGGGTTACGCGGTATCGACAACAAACTATAGCTATAGCAGTCATCTCTAACGTGAACATATCTAGAGATGGCGAAACACGGCATATGTGTGTACAGCAATGGGCTTCTCTCTGTGCCATTCTTGCTGAAGGAATATTTCAACGTGCCAAGATCAAATTCTGCCATTCTATTACCAAACACCTATGTCGCTTTTTACACGATAGCTCTGGTGCATGAAGAACGGGCAACATCGCTTGATGAATACAATGTGTTGGGGCAGTGTCATACGCGTCCGCAAGCACGAGGTTGTGGACGCCGGGTGTTCGGCGCCTGAATCGAGACGCTGACCCCCAGCCGGGGCTTTCCCCATGGTACAGAAGTCGTATTGCCATGGGGAATGTCTTCAAGCTTGTCAGGACAGGAAGAAGGAGGCTCAAATGTGTCTCCGAGCTCGAACTCCACAACAATCTGCCGAATCCTGTTTGCGCTGCCCGGACGGTCCGGCTCACCGCCCACGTACATGAGCGTGCAGGCGAAGGATGTGTCCTCTCCGTGTATTAGCTGGTGACTGCCTAACTAACCACCTAACCTACCCGCTATGCGTGGCCAACCATGGAATCAAGGATTTCAGCTGCTACCAATGATCTGATAATGAGCGAACAGGAAGCTGAGACGTTAGGGTATGAGGTGAGGAAGCACTGTGCTGAATCCGCTTGGTCTCCCATTGGCTATGTGTGGTAGAGCTAGCACACTGGGTACCTGAGCAGCAATCCTTGGTTTTTCTGATTGGGGATATGCTCATTACGCCACATTGGGTCCACGAGCCTCTCTCACAGACTCTTCAATTTCGCGAAACTGGCACCATTGCACTTCGCTTCAGGGACTTTTTTTTCCCTTTCTTTTCCGAAGCGCTCATATTTTTGCTTTACTCAAGAACACTGGGTGAGGCACTCCCGCTTTTGACGGGGTTCAATTCATTTATAACGTGTGCACAGGAACAGGCGGTGGGAGACTATTCATGGAAAATACCTACAACCCGGTACCTTGCAACCAAGGTTCCCCCAAGGAAGATCGGAGAATCGGAGAACATGACGGACAGCGCTTCCAGGAGCCCTGAAGCACGAGGGCTGAAAGCTGGCAGAACAGACAGGGCGGGGCCCTGGTCAACCGCCATGTTGGATGGCATAAGCCGCGTCGGGGACGGTGTCTGGAGTGGAAGGGTTACTAACAAGCTAGGCGTTCCCACCGTGGTACAGGGGTGATCCGTTAGGCATGGCAATGTCGACGCGGTGGGGATTGCGATGTGCAGTTATTTGACAGTTGACGGCGACAGCTGGATCAGCCAGGCACTCACCCAAGCCATTGGATGCTGTTGACTTTGCACCGCCCTTTAAGTGGCTTCAAGACTTTAGCAGGCTTCGGACATCGCACAAGACACGACTTACCAACCTCATTGACCGAGACATGCTCAAGGCTGCAGCAAACAGTCTCTGCGCGTGTCCAGAAGGTCGACACAGAGTTTGACTTGCCTTGCCTCCATGAATTCCAACGACTGGACGGTACAGAGTCTAGTTGTGTGGCCCTGTCGAGCTGAAAGACAACAACTCGCCGCCTGCCCTCACGTACCGGCGACACGCCCGAAGCTAGCTGCAAGCTAAACCGTCCCAGTTGGGAAAAAGTGGCGCATTATTTTCTGTGGCAAGCCATAGCATCATCACAGGTGAACGGGCGCGCCTTGCAGTGCATGTTGGCGCAAAGTAGTTGCGGCTGTTTTTTTGCTAGTGAAATGCACAAAAGAGACGACTTTGTCGGCGGAGGCGGGATATTGTCCAACCCGGGTTGGACAACTGGCCAGTCATGCCAGTCTAGTTGAATAGGTGGAAGGATGGGTAAGCACCTCTCTGCCTTGCCATTATCGTTGCCACGCACTGCGCAGTGTTCGCAGTGCAGGCCGTCCATCGCGCCGGGCCTGTATCGTACAGCTTGCAGCTACATAATAGCTGCAGATACGGCGATAGATGCAGCAGTATGTGCTCAAGCGTCGGCCGAAAATTCCAAGCCGCACAGAAGAAGCAGCCTCGCAAGCCCCATGCATGCAGGCCCATTAGACGACACGGCCACTCGACTTTCACGAGTCGTGTTGTTGGGCCTGTGCCTTGTCCACGGTACCCTGCCGAGTACCGATGAAGCGAGCGGGTCACACGTCAACGGTCGTTCTGAGTTTGATCTCTCACAAGCATTTAACCCGCTTACCGCCTTCCTTCGCTTCTGCACTTGGGAGTCAGGGACAAGGCCAGACGGGGGGGCCGCCTGAACATTTTGAGTCGTGCGTGTGTGTCGTGAGGGAAACGAGGGGAAGAGAGCGAGGCGGACGAGCGTTTGCAGGTGTCAGCTTTAGCCCATCAATGCAGAACTCCCAACGTGTTCCGTCCATCCGTTCTCTTCGTTCGATTATTCTGTGGGTAATCCCGACAAATGTCTGATGAAACCTCGTCCCGGGAAGGGGGCTTCTGACGGTTGGGGGAGAGCGAGTCGGACAACAGCTGCTAGCTTCGTAGGCTAGAATAGATTCGAGAGAACGCCTCAACGCCTCACAACGCTAACGGGTGCACTGAAGGAAATACAACCTCCTCTTGTGATCGGCGAGACAACGCTCGAAGCGACGGTTTGGTCTTAGCCAGGGGTCGGCGCTCTATGGGGGAGGGTGTGTCTGGGATAGCGAAAAAAGAAGCGGTTGAAGACAAGGCAGCCGCCGACGACGGGTAGATCACCCTCCCCTTCTCATGGTACCCAAAAGGTGATTGATTGAGAGGTGTGTGTGTGCGCGCTGAAAGAGGAGAAGAAGGGGGGTGAGGAGGGTGTCGTATGAGATGAGAAAAGCGCGTGCCTGGTCTCAGGCCCCTCAATACGGTCGGGAAAGGACTGGAGCGCGTATTGAATCGAGGATAATTAGAGCGCAGCATTTCAGGGTCTTGGTTGAGGGTCACTCGACTGCAGCAAAATGTGTTATTTCGAAGCAACTTGGCATGTGCCCTGACGGACATTTTTCAGTCGCAGCTTCCCTCTTATTTTGCCCATGGACAAAGTAGATAGATGGAGGAGGTCCTCCTTGCAGGCCTTTGCAGGCGTACTTTCCCATCCCGACAGGGCTGCCATGACCAAAAGGCAGGTTTTCCAGTTCCTTGGCTGGCAGAAAAGAGATGCGGATTATCCACACACACTCACACACCCCTTCGTATTAATCCCCGCTGGCGTTGGGCGATCAACTTGCCGCCCCTCTTTGCTATACCTACTACGCCCAAAGAGGATTTTCGGCTTCGATGCAGTGATGGATCGCATTACGAGAACAGGAGAGGAGGCTGGGAAGTGCTCCCTACTCCTCCATAGGAACTGTCTGGAAGTCAGCTACCGAATGGTGACCAATTGCTTGTCTGCCATGGCTGAATTGACTGATATGGCAGCGACGCCGCGGCGTTCAAAACAGGCTGATGGCACTATTTGGATGCTCCATGGCACGGTCGTGATATTATGTCCACATATTACCTGTCCTCGTCTGGCAAAAGGCCACCAGAAGGAACAGTGTCTGTGTTGGGGACTGACCGCCATGCTATCTTTCCCGCTATCCGGCACTTCCAGTGCTTGTCCAACAGTACGGTACCTAGCTAGGAGATCTAATAGGGGGGTGTGTTGAGATGAGAAGGCGAACGGGCGGTTCTTCTTTTTGTTTGAGAATGGGTCAGGTCACAGGGCCTTGTTCGTACACTACATCGGTAAGGTAGGTAAAATGAATGAGAGTGGTGCTTGGGATACATGAAAAGGTACATGCTGCGTGGTAGGTATAGAAGGCGAAACGGGAAGTACTCTTACATTAATCACAATCTCCTTTTACCTCTCCTAGATAGAGAGAGGGGGATAGAGAGACACAGAGATAGAGTGAAGTAATATTACCACCAGGATCCGTATGTACCTCCTGGTCTCTCTCTCTCTCTCCCTCTCCCTCTTTTCCTCTGACTGACTCCGGTTGCTAATACCGGACCCGACTGACGTATTATTTGCGCGCTCCTGATTACTATTATTACAGCCCATTGCGTCTCCATCTGTAGGCGCCCCATCCGTCCCCATCCTGGTCTCCCGCTTGTTCGATCTTGCTAGCTTTCCATTGGCCTCTTACTATCCTCTTGGTCACTTTCTGTTTTTTTTTTTTTTCTCCCTCTAACTCTTTTACTAGCTAAATCCTCTTGGCCGCCCCGTTGTTGTCCTACTCAGGCCAGAAAGAGAGTGAAAAAAAAGGAAAAAAAAGGAAAGAGAAAGACCAGAGGCCGGTTTATCACCCTCCTTCACACTTAGACATCCACGATTGAGTCTCAGACCTCACCATTCTTCTACAACAAGCTTCTGTCTTGCCTGGCGAACCGGAGGCGTTAAATTTGCATCATCTCTTACCTTGTCGCAATCCGGCGCGCGTTCCCCAAAGGCCAGAGACACCATTAAGAGAGGTGGAGGTCATCATAATATCCCAGCTCCGCTATTTTATCGCTCTTTGAAACGTTCCAGCTCCAGTCTTGGACAGGGAACCCTCCCCGACCAGTCCTCACCAGCTGCACCTTTTCTGCATATTCCTGTCTCTCGCTCGACACACCATCCCCGACACAAGAGACCAGTCGTCTGAGGAGAAGACCCTCAACAGGATAGCCAGGACAGCCCAGACACACGACAGACGGAGTTGGTCGTCGCCTCGACAATCGTTCGTTCAGTTCGTTCGTTCGTTCCTACTTACTATTCATATCCACAACCCACCCAGGTTTCGCGAACCCCCCTTCAAGGATCCCTCCCACCTTGCCTTGTCTCTTTGCCTCTGCCGGTTCAGAGATACCGACACCACCGTGCCGCACTGCACCGCCATCCAAGTACCTTTGGATTCCCTTAAGTCCTGTACACACCCCGGCTTTATTTTTATTTTATTTCATTGTCTGGTATGCTGGGCTGAGGGGAATTCGAGAACCAACCTCACCTCACCTTATTTCGTCCTCTGGCCCGTCTCTGCCTTTCACTCATACACATACCTCACTTGGGTGTCAGCAGACGTCGTGCCACAGTAACACCGAGCATTCCGGCCGTTCTCCCTTGCCCTCTCCAACCGTCTCTTAACCCAGATCCCCAGTCGCTACCGCATATTTTAGTCGCTGTGTCGTCACAGCCCGCCATTGAAACTGCTCTCCAACTTCGAGACGGGCGCTATTAAATCGAATACACACGGCAAGCTGCAGCTGCAGTGACTTGGCCAAGGAAGTGAAAATTACAATCAACACGGCTGTGGGAATTGGCCATGAGATGAGTGGTTCGACGCTGACGATGGCCCCGGCTGTTGTTGAACCAGCCAATGGTTCTTACTTGCATCGATCACACAGCTCCAACGATCACACAGCCGATGCGCCGACGTCAACAGCACCGACGCCCCAAAAACGAGGGCCGAGCGTGCAGGGTCGCGCTGCATTCGAATTGCCCTCATTCGATACTATTCCCAACTTCGACACCACTCTTTATCTCGATGGGCAGAGTTCCAAGAAGGCCCAAGTAGCAGAGGAGCAGCCGCGATCGCAACCGCCCCCGACCAAAGTACGATCGGACCCCGTGAAGTTGTCGAAGCCTCCACCCAAAGATGACGACAAGGAAAATGCGAGAGATGGAAAACAAAAAGAGAAAGACAAGGAAAAGATGAAGAGGGGCAGGAGGACGTCACTGATTGAACGACGCAAATCATGGTTGCCGGCCTCGAAAATGCCTTCAAAAGTTAAAGAGCCGCCCCTGCCCGAGAGACCCAGTACTCATGCCGGAGACCACGTGGATTTTGGTGCTACTGCTCCTGCTGCTTCTGCTGCTTCTGCCGCTGCTGTGCCATCCGGCTCAACGGTAACACTGACGCCGCCACCAGAGCTTGAACGCCCTAGAACTGTCTCGGAGAGTTTTGCAACCTTTGCGAAGAAGTCATGGATGTCCACCTCGCGCTCTCCGTCCCCGAAGAGGAACCCAGAAACTGCCCCTCAAATTCAGCAGCCCCCGGCACGTCCCTCCCGCAGTAGGGCAACGAGCAACGAATCCGACAAGGGTGCCACAGATACCTCCCGGAGGAGGCCGGTCTCGCTTCTCGTCGACACGTCAGTTTCTGCCACGCCGCGGCTCGCCGAACCTCAGAAACCCACGTCACGCGCTCTCAATCGCGCGAGCACTTATCTAACCAAAATCAAGCAGCGTCCGACAAGTATGCTTATTAAACTGGGTTCGGGAAGTGATTCCGACGTCAATCTGTCCACAGCGTCTGCTACAAGCCTGGCACCGCCCAGTACCACACCTGGGAATGATCAGCGCAGCAGCTTCAGCAGCAACAACAACAACACTGATAATAAAACGAACGATTCGAAGCCCGTCGCGCGGCCGCCCTCAAAACCGGTAACGAAGTCAGTCACAAAGGTGTCGTCGAAACCTGCTTCCTCAAAGGCAGCCTCGAAACCGGCCTCGTTTGCCGACTCGCAGACAACGGTGACAGATGAATCGTGGAGCGAAATGTCTGCTAACAAGGACACGATATGGTCTGTGTTCAGATCTCTCGACACCGACTATAGCGGCTTCCCCAGCAAGACCATGGCCCAGCGTATGCAAGTAGTACGCGTCACTCTGCTGCCTTTCCTGCGGACCTATATGAACCATGTTACCAACAAGGGACTCAATTTTGAGGATGTCGAGCGCAGAGCGACAGTACTGAATAAGTGGTGGGGCGGACTGTTGGACATGTTGGATGGACAAGGAGGTCAGGCTCTGCCAGGTGTCGACCGGCCAGTCCTTCTCGAAGCCTTGACAATGTTGATGATGCGACCTGAGTGGCGACAGACGACGACCTATTTCATGCCCTTGGCAGACCGTTCACCGAACGAACGTGTTCGGCCCCGATCAGGAACTCAATCTACAGCTGACTCATCGTTAGCATCGAGCCAGGCTTTCCTCGCTGAGTCGGCCGAGCACAATGTCCGTACCATGTTCGTAAACAACCTCATGAAGCAGATGCAGATTGTCGTGGATAAAATGTCACTGCGTCACTCTCCGTTGAGTCTGGTTAACTGGTGCGGAAAGGCTTGCGCCTACGGCTTCTTCTTTTGCCCGTCTGTTGCTGAGATTCTTGTTCGCTTATGGGACTTGCGTCCAGATCTTATTCGGCGAGCAGCTGATGAGTTTGGCTTACCCAAGAAGAACAACGGCGAAAGCGAGGATATTATGGCGCTCTTCCCGCCAAATTTGGGTGTGCTGGGTTGGCAGTCGCAGAGATACTTCAGCATGCGCTTCAAGGAGAGAGTAAAGCTATCCGTCATGGCCGCAAGGATTCCCTGGTTTAGCCCCTGGGTAACCAGGTGGCGCGGGGGTGATACAGACCTGTTCTTCATCTTCTGCAAGTACTTCCATATTCTGTCCGAAGAGTTCATGCCTGAAGGCCTGCCTCTCATCGAAAAGGCGCGTTCACCGGGCTTTGTGCTGGTCCAGACTCAGATTCTGGCTTGTATCGAGTCAACCATTCACAGACAGGCTGAGGTCGACGCGATGATGAATCCGTTACCAGCAGCTGATTCGTTCTACGGTGCTGATGCGGCGGCCACATCAATGACGGTCCCCGGCAACTTGCTGAAGAATATGGCCGAGAACCGCCTCATTGTGCTACTAAAGGACATTCTGGGTGAAACAGGGTCTGTTATGAGTGCCGCGAGACGCACTTTCGCCGAGGCCTTTCTCGCCATCATCCGCACCGCCACCCGTCGTGTATCTGCGTACGATCACAGCGCCGTGTTTACACTCTGCGATTTCTTGGAGGAGGCTCTGGTGGCCTATGACCAGTTTGACGATATTTCCAACCCTAACATCGCAGCAAGTCTCAACTGGCCGTTTTGGCTGGACGTTTGCAAGAAAATGTTGGTATCTGATAACGCTATGACAGAGGTTCGCCTTCTCTCCTTCATCTTCTCGACCTGGGAGACGGTCACAGCGGATCCTGAGAGAAAGAAGGCCATTTGTCTGGACTGGTTGCTTTCTGAGGAGACTTTCGACACGTATTTCAACCACTGGTGTCCAATGGTGCGCGGTTATTACATGCGCCTGCTTTGCTGGCGGATATGTCGGGATGCCGGCAGCCCCAATGAGGTAGACGCTCAGATTTTCCTTGCGGCTGCATCGCGGCTAAAGACCGTCTGGGCACACTACCTCTGGCTCCGTAACACAGCTGAAGCGGCCGGAAAGTTCCCCCCATCAACAGCACCTTGTCTACCCACCCCGGGCAAGAAGTTCATGATTATCCGCACAGAGGTCAACCTACCTCAGCCGGGCTACTTCAACCAGCCTTTCGACTCATTCTCCAAGATCCTGAACGGAGAAGGGTCCGTGGCAACGCCGCCCCCCACAGAAACCGCTGAGGTCGCCCCGACGAAATCTGACAACAGCAAGAAGCGTTGGTCTCTCTTTGGAAAGGTCCTGTCATTAGGCGGCGCGGGTTCAGGCTCCGACAGCGAGGACAATGAACCCCAACGCAAGGAATCATCGATCAAGTCCCTCACCTCCCGTTCGAAAGCTCGCCAGGGAGGCCCACCTCTACCTCCCAAAATCTCAACCTCGGCGGCTTCTACCGTGACCACATCCTCGGACGGCAGCTCTCCTGGTGGCTCGCCAATCTTTATGGAACAGAAGTTTGTCTTCAAATTTACATTAACATGGCAACCCCCTGCCGTTACTCAGCCACGCGACCGCATCCTTACCCGCCCGCGTCTTCCTGCCCCCGCACAAGCATGGGTTAATACCCGCTCCCGCAGCGGTAGTAATCCCCCGCCTGTGCAGGCCGGTCTCCCAGACCCAACACGGCGCGTGTCTGGTTCGAAGCAGAAGGGCCTAGTTGACGGAGCCAGAAATGCCAGTCCATTAAGCTCACCTACGCTCGAGCGCAAGTCTTCAGTTACAGCCGTCTCATCAACTTCTCTCGTTCGCAGACTGAGCAATAAGTTCGATTTTGAAGAGAACCCTAAAGCGGAGCTGATGACTTTCGACTTTGACGCCGCCGAAAAATCATCCGCGTCATCCGTATCCTCCACTTCCTCTACGCCATCCTCGCCTGCGGAGAACAAGACCGAGGAAGAGCCTCAGCAACCACTGTCACCTCCGCCCCAAGCACAGACGCACCAGCCACCTCCAAGAACTCAGAGCCGCAGGTCAGGAACCGAAGCGCTGACGCAGCCTTTGCGTCCTACTGGCCTCTATACTAAGCGTGCTGTCTACACTGGTCGCGCGCTGGCGGAGTGGAGTGTCGTCGTCGCCGAGTGCAATGGTTTCGTCGACCGCAGACGGGACGAAGGGGTCCTCGGGCTGAGCGATGTTGAAGTGCCGCTCCTGACTGTCGAGGGATTCAGGAAAATCGGGTAGATGTCACTCGGTGGGCATCCCGAACGGCGGTACATTTGATGAAACCCTATCTATACATTCCTCTTTTGACGACAAGCGTTACGACAGAGGGCCGGACAAAGAAACCTGCTCGACAAACACTTTCCTCCCGCACGAAGACAACAGCAAGCCAGCAAGCAAATGCAAATAAAGCAAAGACGCCAGCGGAACCTCATTCCGTGGCGCAATGAAGAAAGAAAAAAGGCGGCTCATGTTTGAGAAATTCGTTTTATGGTCCTTTACATCGACCGTTTTACATTATACCATTCTGACTTCGCCATGGCGAAAATTTTTTGAACGAGCCCACATGTTTGTTTTCAGTTCCGGGCTCCTGTTTCAACATCCATCCCAAGCATTGTTTTTTGTTATTGCTAGAGGAAATTTTTGCTTTCTTCATTGTCAGTATTGTTCATGTTTCTCAGACATCATCCAAGTAATGATAGTTTCTTCTTCTGGGTGTGGCCGAATGGGGCGTTTGGGAACACGGGTTTAAAGAGCGGACTACAACCGAATCTATGCTTTTTGTGTTGAAAGGGCAGACTTTTTGTGGGAGTTGAAATCAGTTGTGTGCAAAGAGTTGCTGTCATCCGACAGATCATCTCGTGTGCTTTGTGTGTATTTGCGCTTCGCAAACCGGGGAATACGGGACGGCTTTTGTTCGGAACATATTGCAATTCATTTTTTTTCTCTCTCTTCTACAGATGTTGCGAATGCGACTTTGAAGGATATATCCCACTTACAAATCAATGAAAGGAACCTTTGGGGCAAAAGCTGATAATGGCTGATGAATCTGTTTGTGCATGTCTGTGAGATAAGCTGCCGTGAGACAATATGGAGCCGAGCTGAAGCAAGACATTGAAGTACTACGTATGGTTAATGATCGGCGGTGTTGACTTCGCTGATCGGAATGCAGTGCATGGCCGTTTCGACGTCTCGGGTAGGTCGCGGGTTTCTCATGGACATGATGGGTTCCCGGCGTTTTGATGTAACGGTCCGGTGTAACCGTCTGGAATGACCGATGTTTTGCTGTCAGTCTTTGCCCAGGACGAGGTCGTTCCCGATATGACTTTGCTGTCTAGATGTTGAAGGTTAGTAGGTAGGTCATTGGGGACGCGAATTGGGACCGTAATCGGCGTAGCACTCTCTTAAGTTCGTTATAGAGGAGCGTAAGTTGTGGATTGTAAGTTTCCCATTCTTCGCAAAACAATCTCGTACGTCGGGCCTGTGGGCTTGGGGACAGTGTGTATAGTGGTCATTTTTTTCTTTTTTAGGGAACATTTTGAGATGGAGATAGAGTTGGGTATTGTGATGTGGTATTTTCCTTGCTCTTTACCTGCTGCCTGTCTTCTTGCGATTACAGCTTACAGAGGGAAAGATGAGATGTTGAGGAGGTGGAAGAGAGTTGACGGCACGGGACTTTCGCGTTCTGAAGCCGAGGCCTCATGAAAGGGAGCACGCTTCAACGCTACAAGCTGGAACATGGTTGATCTAGAGGACACGTTTTTTTTTTTTTTTGGTTGAATAACCACTTGGACATATGCCGTACGTGGTCGACCTTGCAAATTCTTCGCAAAGAAGGAGGCGGGTGTTCGTTTGTCGGCTGAATCCGAAAACGTACGAGATGATGTGATGGGCATATCGGTAAGTAACACATGAGAGAGTCCAGAGTGCAGCCGAGCGGCTTCCTCCGTAGAATATAGCTTCCATTGAGCCATCATCCGCTGACTCTCTATGATGACAGTATCCGACAAGCTCTTCCCTTCATACGGATGATGCACAGAAACGATTTTCACGTTAGCAAAGCATGATCCTAGCGCGGAGACAAAGTGAGAGGGATGAAAGTGTATTGACGAAGGGGTGTTGAATCCAACCTCCTGGAGAGTCTAATGTTGTTATGGTCTGATAAGAACAATTACTAAATATAGGAAAAATAGGAAATCTCGAATATCAAGTCACGCCAGGGTCTGGCTAAGGACAACAAATCCACTACCCGCTAGCAGCCACCTCCTTTCTCCAGGCCATCATCCGACCGAACAGCTTTTGTCGCCTCACAACCACTTCGGAGCCCCAGGCGTCATCCTTTTGGGGATAGAACGCATCGAATCGCGGCTTTCCATCGTCAGGGATCTGGATGTAGGACGGCTTGCTCCGCACGTAGATGTGGACGTCTGGACCGCGGAGAAGGGCGGGAGAGTCGAGGGTGCCGACGCGCAGGAATTTGAGAAGGGGACATGCGCCATAGTTGCTCCACACGGCAGTTAGGCAAGCAGGGCAGCGGGCTATGTTATGAGGTGCGCCTGAGTCGGTGGGAACGGCGAGGAGAACCGGCGAGCCTATGGTCTCGACCGTCTGGCCATTCGCCTCGTCGGTATCAGCCGTGATTCCGCCAGGTCTGGACTGCTTAGGGGTCCAATGGTCTAGAACTGAAGAAGGGAACGTTGCTAGCGGCTGAGATAGCGTGGCGGATGGGGCGCTGGGGAGGAGAGTCACCTCGTCGCCCTCGACGAGGGCGTTGACGGCGAAGGCAGTGCCGGTCTCACGCTGGCAGGAGGTGCAGTAGCAGCAGTGGACGAAGAGAGGCGCGGCATTGAGGGAATACCGGATGTATCCACAGGCACAGCCGCCCTGAAGAGGAGCGAAGAGAGGCGTGGTCTGGACGTCGTGGTGAGACATGTCGGGCGGTGATGTAGTCCGCTTCGTCGTTCGTTCGGTGGAGAGACCGGCTGGCTTGGTTCCCGCAGTCGATCAAGCGCCAAGGTCTAGGCTGTGACGGCGCTCTTTGGCTAGATTTCAATGCTGTCTTGTCCAGAATTCCTGATGGTGGCAGGTGTTTTCTCTCGGGATCCGGGTGAGCCTGGCCACGAATGAGAGGCGGTCTGGACGCAAGAGGCGTGTAAGTGAAATGCCTACGGGGGGCTGGGGACGGGGGTGACTTACATGCAGTCGTGCTGAGAAATGTCTCGTGGGGACCCTAGATCTAGACAAGATTGACTTAGCTATGATGTCGGCCCGAGATTATGAAGATGAAGAAGAGGAGGAAGAGGAAGAAATAGCCGAAGGAAAAGGAGAACTCAAGAGAGGCGAGCGGGGAGAGAAGGATGACATGAGGGCTTGGTCAGAGACGCGAGGAAATTCAGTCGTACCAGTCACAGGCGGCATGATGGCCTGAATAGGCAAGTTTCTTATCTAATCACTGCAAAGCGACGCTTGCCCCCTCTTTCTTGTCATTTTAGGCAGACAAAGCCGAGGGATTTGAGCGACTTTGGCCACGGAAATTACAATTTATGGGTGTGTCAGCAAGGGATTGAATGGTTTTCTGCATTTGGCGGTGTTGAGAAAGGTGTAGTCATGGTGGGCGAATCTGAAAATCTCATGTAAAAAGATCCTCCCTATGCGCGCGAGGCGCACTTGCATTGAAGGTGGTGTGCTGCTCCTTGTCCAAGCCTGGAGTCGAGGCAAATACGTGAGACCAGATGAAGCGACGGGCTCCGTGGATTTCTCTTGGCTCTGGGGAGTCCAGGCGTTTTGAACTGATCATTTATGACCATTGTGGTGTCGTGAGCGGAGGGACTGGATGGTTGACTCAGACAGAGGACCCTTCAGTCTTGCGCACTGCTGCATCACAGGGTCTGAATCGTTGTCGCCCTCCTTGAACAAGGACAACATTCCAGTCGGTGGCGGGAGCCGTTTGACGTCGGAATGACTGACAGTGCTAGACGCGTTGTTGAGCATGACGTTGTGATGTTCTTTCGTCATATGTATGGCGCGCCTTGTTTCCAGAAAACGTTGGTTTTCGAATATAAACCGTTGCAGCGCCTGCCGTTCCAGACCCACGCGGCAGTTAATCTCGAACTTCCATACAGAACAATATCAAACAAGCAGCGGAATTCAATAGTCCCAAACCAACTACATCTAGCCACCCGACACCAAAGAAACACTACGACCACTCGAAGAAAGTTGGCAATAATGCAGCCTATCGCTTATCTAGGAGTGCTGTTGCTCTTCTCGACATCGGCTGTTGCCGCCCCGTCACGCCACATCCATCTCCAGCGGCATAGACATCGTGCCGCCACACATGCCCACTCGAGACATGACCATTCGTTGTTGGAGAAACGGGCTGAGCAGATCCGAATGGAGGCAGAAAAGATTGCTCTGCCAATACCCCAAGATTTGCCCATGGACGCACCACAAAGACAACCATCATCGAAAGATGACACAGTCATAACATTATGGGGTCACCATCACGAAGGGGATTCCGCCGTGGTAGGCCACAACGAGCCCGTGATACGAATGACGGAGACGGTCACAGGGCGCGGGAAGTTGGGAGACGACAGAATCGACATCACGACGGTGCACGACAACAATCGAAAAAAAGTCACGGACGGCTTCGACAGTCGTCACCTTGATGGGGCACTGAGTCTGTTACGCTCTCATTCGGCGGGAAAACACAATGGGTATCGACATTAGCCGCTGAAAATGTCAGGTTTTGAGCTGTGCTTGAGCCTGTGATATGCGTATGTGTGTCTCGCTACTGGAATGATGGGCTCCCGGTTATGACTAAGCGGTGGTTGATGGGCCGCCTTCTATGTATAGACAACGCTGTGGCTTGCTGCGGGATCAGCGAGCGACACGAGCGGGATGATAGGGTTCTGGATATTTTTGGATATTTTTTTTATTTGGAAGTATAATGTTTGTTCCGATCGGCTGTGACGATCGTCATTCGGTATAATACGGTTTTTTGTGTTGTTGGAGGACAAAGTCAGTATCGAAGTAATTAAAAAGGACCCCTGAGATGTTCGTTATACACTAGGTTCTCTTGCTGTGTTAGCTTGTATCAGGCCTTGATAGAGGTTCCCCGTTACGGGTGGAAAAGCGGATTATCTACTGGAGACGTTGTGTCAGTTGGCCTCTCGTATCCCTGTGCTCATTGAGTGACAAGAATCCGCTCAAGTGATCTGGAGACAGTGTTTGTCTCGTCGAATTGCTAATGCATCTCTCTCTGAAGCGGTTGAAGAAACACGGGCGGGTCGAACAGTCTCCCTTGGTTCTAGTACGCGCTGATCGTTGAGGGATTCCGCGCACTCGTTGTAGTGAAGTGTGAAGTTCTTTTTTTAAAGTTATTGAGAGGCGGATGATTGACATCATTTCGGAGTGTTTTCTTTCATTCCCCTCCAGGAAGACGTAGCGAAGGCGGCGACTGTTTTGTTTCGCGACGTGTCAAGCTCTGCCGGGTTGTTTCTTAAGTGAACAGAAATACTGGGCCAGGTGTATCAAGTTGGTGATCCTCTGAGCGTTGCCATTTGGTGAATGCACTGTGAATAGGGTACGGTTTACTCAACGTTTGTACAGTGTGGTAGAAGCACGTAAACTGTCCTGAAGAGATGCCCCACTGATTGGTGCAGGAACCGGGACGGGCCTCCACTACAGCTCTGAGTATAGTGTGGTGCAGGCAGGTACGGGGTAGGGGTACTTTAATCTTGGCGTTATCCACGGATACGTTCCCAGTCATGTGCTGTCCTCAAATTCAAAAGCCCATTTGGGCGACGTGCGCGCCGCCGCACCCCAGCTGAAGGAACATTCCTGCCCATTTTCTATCCCCTCGAAGCGAAGTCAACCTGTACTAAGACGAAGAAGAGGAGCCGTACTTTTTTGCCCAGAGCTCAGTGTCAGTCACGAGAGCCAGTTTTGTCGATCCCACTTCCAGCTCATCAGCTCTTCGGCTCCCACGCCGCCATCTCTGTTTCTCTCCAACTTTTGACTCTCCCCTAGTCGAGATAACCACACTAATCGACAACGCGACACCTACAATAGCACCCCGCCCCCTTTTCTCGATAACCACTACTCACTGTCACGATTGCTGCGCTTACGACACCCGAAATATTTCGCCTGACTACTGACGGAAATATACTGTTCTTGCTTTACTAATCCACCATCCTCTCTTTCGAAACGTTCAAAGCACCCAATTGCTGGGGAAGCTCCGGAACGCTTGGGCTTGCGCGAGTACTTTGCTACACCAGAGCCGCAGGGAGGAACCATTGTGTCGAGATCGCATCCCTGTTTTCGGTTTATCTGTCGTCCGCTGGCTACCGTAACATTAATCAAGGGACGTCTCCCAAAAAAGATCTTTCCATTGTTGCACCGTCCCAATCGGCACCCCCAAGCTAGCTGAAGCAATCGCGACATTGTCTGAGCGACACACCTTTGAGCTCCGAGCTTCCACTTTCGCAGTCGCCCTTCCTTGCAGACGCAAACCATCTCGTAAGATAAATTCCCGACCCGGCCGGCCGAGCGCTGCGACTCCCTCGCGATGCCTTCGCCAAGGCAACTACGCACACTTCTGATTGGTGTTATGATCGGCGTCGTCTTCGTCCTCTTCTACACGTCGTCACTTCGATCCAACGAAGTCAAGGACGGGCGAACCGTCCAGGACTTCTACCACAAGACGGTCAATGGCCTGAACAAGAAACCACCACCTGGCCAGGCGGTGCTAGATCAAAAGAAGGGCAAGCCCGCTGGCCACGTGCCTGTCGATAAGGATGCCGACGGCGACATTGACGATGACGATGCGAAGCTGGCCAAGGATATGGCAGGAAGGTTGAAGGCCGCCGAGGACAAGGCCAAGGAGCTCGCGAACAAGAAGTCGCCGTTGAAGCCCGATCCGCCGAGTGAGGTTGTTGGGAAGGGCAACTCAGCTGCTGGCCAAGACAAGAAGAAGGAAAAGACGGGCACCGCCAAGGAGGTCGCCACAGAGAGCAAAAAAGAAGACAAGAAGGAGGAGAGCGACGAGGAGCATGCTGTTGAAGTTGAGCTGAACACCATCCTCAAAAAGTCGCCCGGTACGTTGCCCCAGTTTCTAGTCGCGTGAAGATAAATGTTTCTTTAACTAATGCTGGAACAGTCATCATCTTTTCCAAGTCATACTGTCCCTACTCGAAGAAGGCGAAAGAGATCTTGCTCAACAAGTACTCGATCGAGCCGGCTCCCTTTGTCGTCGAACTCGATAAGCACCCCCTTGGCCCTCAGCTGCAAGCATTTCTGGGCGAGAAGACTGGCCGCAAAACCGTTCCCAACATTTTGGTCAATAGCGTGAGCATTGGTGGGGGCGATGATATCGTCGAGCTCGACGAACAACAAAAGTTGCTACCCAGGATTGTGGATCTCGGACAGAAGAAGGTCGAGATGAAGTTGCAGACTGCCGGCGGATCTAAGAAGAAGGACTAGCTCCCCTGAGCGCTTTTACATTCCATTTCTATATTTTACAACTTTTCTGGCCGAAATGTTCTTACGGGGAGCAATTAGGATACGGTGGAAAACTGGTGGCGGAACCCCAGTAATGGATATTGCATACTCGGCGTTTGGGAATCGATTCAATTCTCGCAATCTGCGGCAAGACTATAGCTAGCGATGTGAGGCCTACTCTATCGAGGTTCTCCATTGCAAACCGATCTCCCGCGACGGCGTTGCGAGTGTGGGAAAGTCCTTTAATGCGGAGGGACTTGTACGATTAGCTTGTTCATTGTTCAGAGATATACATGGCCGCACCTTTGCGGCCCTCAATCTTATTTTGGCGCCCTGTCAATCGCTCCACGATGGTGTAGTCGCACTCACACCGGGGCTCAGGCGCAGAGCGCTTGCGGTATCGGGTTGTAGTACTGCTGGCGGTCGGATTCAACAGGCTCATGAACTATCATGGGTACTATTTCACGTTTACAGATTTATTCTACTATTGAAAAGGCAGTCTCGATTGCAGTGGGGGTCTTGGCGGGTTTCTGTCCAACACCCCACCATGACCATCTGGAGTACTTCAGGTTCATAATCAACCCAGCCAAGAGACAGGGAGCAGGTCGCAAAGGCATGATCTGAACCAACTATACCCCCATTGTGTCAGCGCTTTCTTTTGACCTTTTGCAAGTTTTTGTAAGTAATTGATGTGTGCGGTTGAGTCCCCATGGTCCCCATGTCATCATTCTACCCCGCGATACCAACATCAAATCCCCCTCTCTACTTGGAATTCCACAACCACAAGTGTCTTCATCGCAACGGCGCAAGCACAGAAACCCTCAATGCCACACAGATCCATGACTAGTGCTGCGTGACTTGCGTCTCTTTTTCGAATGATCCATCTTTTGACACCACTTTTGATCTAGACAAATCTGGGGCGGAGTGCAGTCGCCATCATCAATTGAGAACCCGGATGGGTTCGTCGCAAGATGAAAAGGCAGCCGGGTTCGCACTTGCGCCTTGCTTCTCTCAACGGTCTCAGCTTTCCATCTCATCCTGTCTAAACTTTCAAGTTTTCTTTTCGATACTGCACGTGGCATTACCAGCTGTCACACGGTAGTGACGTTCTGCCGCTTTCGCCCCAAATCTTTCGTTGACGTGGGTGCTTCCAGCCTCGATATCACATCGTGCAACCAGCTTCAGAACACACAAGGGGCAGAAGTATTCAATCCACACCTTGAGGGCCGGTTTCTACCATTTCGAGTCTTGGTCGACTCAGTCGACACTTCTTCACCTTTCCACACACTTACACATAACTACCCTTTTTATCTTGGATAATGTCCCTCTTACCCGATCATCTCCTCCTGCTCGTCGCAGAGCGAGCAGGCTTCCCAGAAATTCAAGCTCTCCGAGCCACTTGCAAAAGAAACCGCGATCTGTTGGACCGGTATGAGCATGCCGTGACCAAAATCAACACCAGGCGCTACCCCTGCGCACCCTGCAATCATATCCTCGCTTCAGATACACGGGAGCGGGAGGTCTTACCTATAGACACATTTGATATCATCCACGAGCTGGAAAGACGCGAGCGCAATATTGAAGAGGTCGTCAACGGTGCCTTCCTAGCCTTCTGGGAAGAGTACGACCTGCAAGATGCATCCAAGGCGGGCCTCATCCGCTCCAATCTTAAGAGAGCGCTGTGGCAGTGCTCCACGATTGCGGACTTGGAGACACACTCCATCAGATACAGGGACGACGTTGTACCGCGGCGTGACCCCTGCGTAAAGTCCCTGATCCACCAGGACGTTGTTCTCCGCGACGCACCGCCGCCGGACGGCTGGCACCTGGCACTGAAGGAGATCCACGATTCGAACCGCCAGGACGTACGGTTCCGTCAAATCGCACACATCCGCGCCCTGCCCATACAGGAGCTGGCAGGCATCAGTGTACTGGCGCACCTGACGAGTCAGGGGTACATGCGGTACCGGGCACCGACGAGCGCGGGGTCAAGGCCCGACATTGTCGAGATGGGGGTATGCATGGCAGAGAACACTATCCGTCACGGAGTATTCTTCTTGTACAGCAAGGTAAGGAGCAACGAGGAAGCTCACCATCATGCGAGGTTGCTCCTAGACGACACATACGACGAGATGCGGAGGTGGGAAGCCGGGGACCCAAGCGTGCTACCCGGGTTGACGATGACCGTCGCTTCTACGCTTTGTCATAAGATTGGATGTGAACATAGAGATTTGCTGAGAGCCGCCTGTACGGTGCTCAAGGGGGGCGTGTGGAAGGTAGAAAAGCAAGAGGAGGACGCAGGCCCGGAGTCTGAACGGGGAAAGGATGGGTCTACGGAAGGCACAAATACTAGCGACACGGCACAAGACAGGGGGGAAGAGGATGGCGGCGGCGGCGAGGACGAGGTTGAGCAACCATAGTGAGGAGGTGTTTGGATAGAACTTTATGAGATTCATGCGGCATGACCACCATTGACAGGGCCCTGCGAAGTCCTTGGCTATTTCTTTTGGAAACCTTGATCCATCATTATCACTAGAAGCCATAAAATAAGATCCCCGGTACTGAAGAGTCCCAAATTGGCGCAGGAATGTGTACCGAAATGTGGATGCCAGACTACTGATGTTCTTCGTCTCACGCTGTCCCTTTGATGGTGATTATCCTGCCGCGGCCTAGGCTAATTGAAACGTTTTTCGTATAAAACTGCTCACAGCCTGTCGAACGTCTCACGATCTTTGGCTGGCAATAGTGGCCAAGGATGGATGAGGGAAAGGAATCTTCAACCGAAGGTGTAAACTGCCGAAGAAAGGGCATGAACCTTTGTCGGGGTCTCGAACTATATAATCACCTACCGGAGGCACCCATACCTGGTGCCAACTAGACATATCTACATGAGTGACCGGGCTGCAGAGATGAACACAAAACACTAGACAGACTTCCACGCGACTTTTTCTTTTTGAGAGTCTCCCTTACCTAGTCCGGACACCTGGGTCTCCCCAGCCAACGCTCGACGAGGAAGGACACGCCCATGATGCCTGAAGATCACACCTCAGGGATTTAAGCCGCCAGAATTTGTTTTAGATGTCAGCCTTCCCTTAACAGTGGGCCGTTAGAGAGTATGTCTGGGTCAGGAACGGTCGACGGCCGGGACGACCCTGTGCTCTGTCTAGAGGGATGCCTGGCAATATCGGTGGATATCGTGGCCATGGTTGAGTCAAGATGAAGGATACTTTGGAGTTGACGCGGCCTCGGAGCTCCCTTTTGCTTTCTCTTCGCCAGGGAAGTATCGCAGCATCTTCACTAGAGAGATTGAGGTTTTCTGTTGGAAAGTCTAGAGGTCTGAGTGAGGCCGTTCAATAGCTGCAGTGTCTTTCTCGGAAATTAAGTTCATCTATGTGACGGTTCCTTGTATGATGATGATAAGGTGACAGCTATCTAGCAGGCAATTATCCGTCCTTTTGGTTTTGGAAAAGGGGGAGTTGTGAGAATGAATGGTCGAGTTGGGCAGCTGCTGGCATAGCTCACCTACAACCATACTAGCCCCCAGCGTCGATGACAACGACAATGAGCTTGCTACGTATGGGGCTGTCAACGTAGTATTTTGCTAGCAGAAACATGCAGGCAACAGAGTAGCCATCAAATTGATACGTACGTGGCCTCAACCCACAAAACCTGGTGTTCTTTGCGAGAAACTTTGGTTGGAACTTTGGTGATCCGGGCAACCAGGCAGACGTCGCGGAAGCCTAATGCTAATGTGACAGTATACCACCGGCAAGTCCATAGAAGCCTGGCCGGTGACCAACACAAACTTCTCGCCATGCAGGATAGGGGGAGGGAGGAAACAATTTACACAGCAAAGCAGGGCGTTCCTGAAGCCAAGACGGGAGGTGATCGCCGAGAGATGGGGCGTCGTTGGGGCTTGAGACAAGCTTTTTTGGGGGCCGGGGTTTTGGGGTTCGATTCCAGCAGCCGCGACGAGAGAAAGAGGGGGAACGCTCTAGCGGATTCGTATGTTGATGCTTGTGATGATGAAAAAGAGTCACGGTGGGGGAGGGGGGGTGTTGCTGGGGTTGGAAGATGGTCTTTTTGGGAGGATCCAACCGGGTCTGTTATCTCACTCTAGGACTAACAAGGGAACGGCGGGAGCCAGTTCGACATTTTGTGACATGACGATACCCTTGTCGTTCGTAACTGGACTGGTAAGTCTACACGCCCCTGCCTTCTTTTTTTTATTTATTTATTTTATTTATAGGGGCATGTTGGCATATGTGTTGGTGGATGACTATTCGTAATGCTGCGCGTCGATACGCAGGCTACAAAATTGTACAGTTGGAGTCATCTATGCAGGGTTCGATTTCTGGAGCTTGCGTTCAAAGAGGAGCTCTGATTAGCTAGAAGACATCTGAGAGGCGTGTCCCGTGTTGCCGGTGTCGTCACGGGGATCCACGGCGAATCCTTCCAGGACGCCGGCATCCCCTGTTTCCCTTCTATGGAAATCCCACCCCAGGTCTAGAACTTGTCGTTCAAACCAACCTGCATGATACAAGCAAATTCCAAACTCGGTGGGTGACTCAGGCCAATTTCGACGTCAAGCCTGTCAGTAGACTAACGACAATCTCCACTTCCCACCTTGTGCTTGCGATTTGACTTACGAAGTACCTGACAGCAACACCAGGGGTTGGTTTCCCTAAGGCGACAGCGCTAGAGTTATTACCTAGTAGCGGCAGTATGGTTTGGGCCGGAAGTCGCCTGTACCATGGCAGTTTGCGCAAGCAGGGAGCTTAATTTGAGCCCTGCCTGGTTGTGCCGTGAACCGAACGGCCGCGTTGCCTGATTCCGTCAGTCGCTTACGGCGAGTTCATTTGGGTATGGCGGCCGTCGTAAGGCGATTGCGTGAAGCCTTTTTTTTTTTTTTCCATCTTTCCAACGTCGCTCCCAGCCTGGATTGTTCATTCCTCGTCGCCATTAGCAGGAGTAGTTTCTGACTGTATCGCGGCGGCAGACGATGGGTAACATGGTGAGCCCTTGGCCTGTTTGGGGGGCTGAGTTATGGCTTGCCAAGTAGTTTAGCTGCAGCATTATTGGCTCTTTGTCAGTTGAGCAGAACGCCCTTAGAGTTTGGGCGACATTATCGACGCAGAGGTAGCCCTGGTTGCATCTACTGTCACCACTGGCACCTCCTCTTTAAGTTGGCTGGGCAAGTTTGCATCGCCATCGACCAGTCCCCAGCAGATCAAACCCTGACCGTGAGTCACGAACGAAAGCCGTAATGCGAAATGGTACTGACAAGCATTGATGATTCCTTCTCAAGAGTTTTTTTTTTTTTTTTTCTTGGCCCCGCTATCTTTACTATGTTAGAAACTTCCCAGGGGTGAGAAAAAAAGGGAATATGGATAAGCTCACAAGCTTTCACAAGCACCCCCATGTTCGAAAACACCGGCTTGCTTCCCTGGCTGAGCTACGCAATATGTGGGACTGGCTTGGTGCCAATCTGGGGCTTGTGGTTGGCCAAAGGTAGAAAAAGGCGGGGGTGATGGACTTGGGGGCGTATGTGTGGTACGTATGAAGGTTCAAGAAAGTGCAACATATGGGATGGATGGATGGATTGGGATAGAGGTGGTGTTGACAGAACGCTTAGTTTTGCATGATTCGGACCATGCGTGTTCTACGCCCGTTTGGAAACGCGCCATTCCACTGGTTCGCCATTTATCCCCTGGGGTGGAGGGGGGGTGTTCCTGCGGGATAACCTACATTCTAGATACATGCTGGGGCGGTGCATCTCTTGGAAGCATATAAGGAGGACTAGGGAACGCCGCATGAGCAGTTTTTTTGTATTCACTCTTGGCCTGCGTCAATAATCAATCAATTCATTTCTCCCACACCGACATCTCTCAATCTCTAAACACTAAAACACAACACATAAAGGTCGCTTTATTGCCATCGCTCCCATTCTCGACTCGAGCAACACAACCGCCAAAATACTCTCTACCTACAGTACCACCGCATTATCTCCAACCACCAACACCGCAACCATGGGCAGAGACTCCTTTTCCGAGACATCCACCATCTACTCCTTTGAGAAGGAGACCTCGCCGGAGGTAGTACACACGAAGAAGCCCTCAATGAGGCAGCGAGTCAAGAGGGCCCTCCGCGACGTTGGACACCCGCCCACGTACCGCTACGACCTCGAGCACGGCATCGACACGCAAAGAGTCGTCCCTGTAGGACCCATGGGGTCCAACGTTCTCAACCAGCCTTCGCGCATGTAATCGTTCCATCGCATCGGTTTGCACGATTGAGATGGTGGCGGGGGAAGACGGCGATTCTTCTTTCCGCCGAGGGTTCAACTGGATATTATGAGCGATACAGACGGCAAGGCGTTTGATGGAGTTGAAGGGTATCACTACGGGGTCCCTGACGAGCGAAACATTTCTCTGGGTTGTTTTCTTACGTTTTTCGACATTCGACGACCACAAGGAGAGGAACTGGGTTCTTGTGTTTGCCTTTGAGCAACTCGGGAGCCAAGAACAGGCAGACTGCTGAATACCCAAATTTGGATTTTGAGTAGAAGAATATCACTCCATTTTCTATCTGACCTTGATGGTTCAACCGTGATGCTAGCTTTGCCTGTGCGAATTTGAAATCATGCTGCGATGTCCGTTTTCCGTGAAATATTCAAAATATGATGCCGCTGACTATGTAAACTCCCTGTTATAACATGAGCTCCACGGGTTTCGGGCAACTTTCGAGAACATCCGGCCGCTGGTGAAGGGATCCGGCTCCCGGGGGGGACCTTCCGACCGTGCACCAGCCACCCGGTTTAGTGGAACCATCGGTGCTGGACCCGTCAAGGGGCCGATACTTTCAACCACGAGAGATGCGTATCACAACTCGTGCTCTGACGACAACGTAGATGGAACCTCCGGTGCTACCTACTCAATGCATCCATTTATACTCGCTCCTGTGCCGTCCATGGAGTCACCACCTACTATGAGACTTAAAGCGTGATCGAGGACGGGGTTGAGCGGGAATAGAAGATACTTACAACAAACATGCGCATCTTCAAATACGTCTACGCACGGACATTGAATTGTGTGCCCGGCGTTTGAATGGATTGCCCAGGCCAGGAAGAATGATATCACCGTACCCCTACCACAGCGGCTTTGTAGTGAGCTGCATGTGGGTGATCTAGTGTGCATGATCCAGGGGCATAACATACTCAAACCAACACCTCTCGAGTCTAAGCCCCCATACAGACCATGCGCAGCACTGACGTAATCAGGGTCATTTCGTTTGATTTCATCAGACAAAAAAAAAACCAGGTTCCGTATAGGGTGATGATGGCCGGTCCCTATTTTGAGTTACATGACGTCTGAGCGCCGCTGGGACGGCGGGGGGGGGCGCGCCGCAGGCTCCACATGGAATATTCCTTTGGCTTAGAAATCACGACACGGCCCGGCGCCGAGGGTCTCCGTGTCGCCAGAATTATTCAGCCATCGGCGCCGATGTCTATGTTATAGCATGTTTTTGGTTGAAGATCTACGTTTATTTAGCGATTTTGGGATGATGAAGATGAATACATAATGAGGTTGCTCATTCGCTGCCGTAGTGGCATCAACCACACTCTGCATAGCAAAAGTCCGTTGACGATTAGGCCCCTATTCGTAGCTTGGGTTAAGAACAGCAATCCATCTTTGCCTTTATACATATACACAATCCAGACTTACAGCCATGGTAACTATACCAAAAACACACAAGGCCGTCGCGACCGTCGCTAAGCGGGAGCCCCTGGTCCTCCTCGACCGTAAGACCGAACTCCCGGGTGACGGCGAGGTCCTCATGCACAACGAGTGGACGGCCTCAAGCCCACTAGACCTCCACCGTGCTGACGGCGGGCTTCTCTGTAACTACCCCGAGGTAATGGGCGGCGGCGGCGCCGCAGGCACTGTGGTCGCCGTCGGTCCGGGCGTGGACCGCCTCAAGCCGGGCGACCAGGTCTTTACGTTTGCCTTCCGCGACTTCCGCGAGCGCGGGCAACAGGAGTTCGCGACGGTGCCAGATTACCTCTTGTCCAAACTGCCGGCGAATATCACGCCCCAGGAGGCCGTGACGGTGCCGACGAATCTGATCACCGTCTTCCACGCCGCTACCGCAGATCTGGGACTCGAGTTGCCCTGGCCGAAACCCGCTGGCTGGGAGCCCAAGGAGAAGGATGCGCCCGTGCTGGTTTGGGGTGCCGCGAGTAGTGTCGGTCTATATGCGCTTCAGGTTCTGCGGCATTGGGGGTATAAAAATGTGCTTGCCGTCGCCAGCGAGAAACACCATGCACATCTAAAGGAGATTGGCGCAAGGGAGACGTTCAGTTATCGGGACGCAAACGTTGCCGAAAAGATTCTGGGCTTTGTCGGGCAGGATGGCGTGCCGTTTGTGCTGGACTGCATCGGGTCCGTTGAGGGGACGCTGAGACCGTTGACAAAGATCGCGAGGAAGGGAACGAAGGTGGCCGTCATGTTGCCCGTTATCATCCGGGATGCGACGGAGGAGGTTGAGCCGGAGTATGAGATGGACGTCAACAATGCGCTTGTTGGCGAGTGGGCTGAGGGGGTTGAGTTGAAGGGGGTCCGGACACACTTTTACCTGGCGGTAAGTTGACTCTCTGAGAAAAGGCCGTTAGGGATGCGATACTGACGTCTCAGCAGAACGAGTTCTACAAGGAGAAAATGCAGCGGGAGATCGTTCCCAAGCTGCTCGAGGACGGCATTATCAAACCGAATAAGCAAAGGATTGTCGAGGGTGCGACTCTGCTGGAACGAGCGCAAAAGGCGATTGAGCTGCTGAGGAAGAGGGATCCGAGTGGTGAACGTCTAGTCTGGAGGGTATCCGATCTGAAATTATAGAGGCGTGTACATTTGTTAGCATAGCGGAGTCACATTAAGATGGAGCTAGGTAGATAGCCCCTTGAATCAAATGGTATCCAATCCCAAAAAAGATGAGGTCTAAAATGCTTTTTACTTTGTTCCTGCTTTTGTAATCTGCCGACCATCTGCTGAAAGAAGCTCAAAACTCCGACCCGTGGGATGCCCCTTGACCAAAACAATAAACGCCTGCGAGTGATCCTCCGCTGCAACCCCCACTCTGCTTTTTGACATTCTTCAATACATACATCAATAAAGGAAGCCGGCCATACTACCATTACGCCTTGCGGCTCTTCTTGGGCTCCTCCTCCGCAGCATCTTTGTCGTCTCCCTCGTTGTCGCTCGTGACGTCCCTGCTGCGCTTCAGACCCTTCATCTTGCGCGTCTGCAGCTCGCCCAGGTCCTGGCGACCGACGTGGACGCGACCCATCTTGTCACCCATGGCGTCCGTAGAAATGTTCTTCTTGGTGCGCTCCTCGGTGCCGCGCGGTTTCTTCATGGCCTCCTTGAGCATGGCCTCGTCCGGCTCGCGCTGACGGCCGACGCGGAAGTCCATCCGGGGACCGATCTCGTTAACTTCGACGCGGGGGACCTTCTGGCCGCTGCGCTTCGTGCTGATCGTGTAAGCGCGCAGGCGGATTACGGGCTTGGCGTCGGCGGCGTCGCTTCCCGAGGGCTCGTCAGCGGTGATGGAGACGATCCACTGCAGGCCCTCGACGTCGATCTTGTCCGTCTGCTCGCCTCTGAAAAAGTCGATGAAGAAGGAGCGGGCGTGGGTGTACTCGTTGGCGATAGGGCTGTCCCAGGCAGTGCCAGAGAAGACGAGCATGGGCTTGAGGCCAATGGGCACCTTCTTACCCTTGAATTGGGCGAGGGTGCGGAAAGACTCAGGGTCGAGGTAGAGCTCGAGCATGTCGAGAACCTTGTGGCTGAATGTGCGGACGAAGGTGAGAGCGTGGGGCCTCTTCTTGGAGGTGTGGCCAAAGACAACGATGGAGGTGTCGTTCTTCTCGGAGAAGAATTCAATTGAGTCGGCGTTGTCGAAGGGGTGGATGTCGTTCTTCTTCACGAAGCGCTTGGCCAGGGGCTGGCGCAGCTGGTAGAGCTCGTTCAGGGCATCCTGTGTGACCTGCGAGCAGGAGGAACCGCGGAGGAAGAGGGCAGTCTTGGGGTTCTCTCTGTAGGAAGTGGGAATTAGCTTGCGGTCGGGGGCGACTGGTTTGGAAAGCATCGAGGGACGTACTGAGCCTTGGGCTCGCGCTTCTCGAGCGCGCGCTTGGAGCGGGCGTTACGGGGTTTTCTGTAATGTCATGTTAGATTGATCCATGTAACTGTAGTTTTTGAGTAGGTGCGACTTACATTTGACGAAGCATCTTGCCGTTGGTCGAGGAGTCGTCCGTCGGATATGTGTTGATTGTGGCTGGGATGCGACTGAAGTTCGAGTTGAGGCAGTCAAAAAAATTGCTTATCGCAATTGAACTGCTTATCTTATCTTATCAACTGCCCCGCGTGGCGGCACTCCATCAGCTGTCGCCACCTGCTGTGTACAGAGCTAGAGTGGGCCACTGGCTCCCTCACTCATCCCTCATCCCAAATCCGGTTGTGCTGGAGTTTTTCAAATGGCTTTTTTTTCTTTTCTTTTCTTCATTCAAATTCTTTTATCTTAAAGGATGCTTTAATAAGTTAGTGTAGCTAAATAATTGTTGTTGTAATATGGATGTATGTATGGAGCATTGCGCATCTGAAAAATGGGTGTTTCCAATGCGCATGTGCCTATTCCGCATCTCCTGTACTTCTATGGACACGCAAGATTATGTTTGCTGCCTTACACTGCCCATAAGATTGGGTTGCAAAAACTTGAAAGTTTCGGTCAATTGGCTGGTTTCTTAACACCTGGCAATGAAATAATATATTTAGGCGCGCAGGTCACAGAAAAGTGCAGCCATTCCATGTACGGGTCGACCTTGTTCTATCTCCCGAGTTCCTCTTCAGTCATTGATGGAAAACCCCAATTGAGTAGTACTTTTTATTCTAGACATTTAAACCTTCATTACTCATCAGATACGTATGCCGCGAATAAAAATTTATTCACGGGAGGGATCGACGAGAAAAGGCGCATATGCCAGTTCATACAGTTGGCTGACAGCACCAACACCCTCCTTCGAATATAAAGCCAAGAAGTGCGTAGGATCCCTATTGAAAATACCAGGCCAGTGAGATTTGGCCTCGCCGGTGACAACACTGTCACTCCACGATTTGCCGCCATCTACACTAGTGATGACTTTCATCTCGGCGAAATCGTATCCCTTGCCGTTGTCTACGTCTTCATTGGTCATAAAGCTTGCTACTAGTGTTCCCCAGACGTTGTAGACTTGAGGAGCACCTGAAGTCTTGCCGTTCCGAGCTGTGTAGAGGCTTCCTCGCTCTCCCCAGGTGTAACCGTCGTCATGAGAGATCACGTAGTCAACGTTAAACTTTGCGCTGCTTGTATGCTCGAAGACGGCGCTAAAGGTTTATCAATGTTAGCTCAGGCCATGATGTTGGCATGATGTAGAGAACACTCACATTAGGTTGCCGTCATTATCAATGGGCGCGACACCAACCATGCCATCGCGAGAGGGACGATCACCTCCAGATACAGCAACCCACTTTGACCAGGTCTGGCCGCCATCCTTGGAATACTTCATGAAATTGTCCTGGTCGGCTGCCGAATTCTCTGCAGAATAGTAGCATTGTAAGGTGCCGTCTCTCGCAAGACGAAGGAAGGGCTCCCATAGCCCATTATGTTGCGATAGTTGGAATACGGAGTCGTGTGGCACTTCCAGCCACACGCCCGCCAGGCTGAGAGGCCCAAGCCTCCCAGACCCACGTGACAGGCCAAGGGGGAATATCCCCACCTTCTAGTCAACAACACTACTTTCAACTATCATAAACCATCGATTAGAACCAATTTACTATTATTTGTTATTAACAAACGGAATTCCGTTTCACCCCTTGTAAAACCTATACTAATCAGTAGTAAACCTTATAGTTGCTATTAATTTAGTTAACTTTATAATTACTACTCTGCTACGGATAAACCGTAGATTAGCAAGGTTAATACTAGAAGAGACGACTTCTTAAACTAAATACCTAAGCCTAGGTAAAAGTAGGGATTTCGTACTAACGAGAGAAGAAGCGAGAGTAACTAGGATCTATGGAAACTAGTAGAAGAAAGCTTCTTTTCCTCGAATCTACTAGCAATCCGATTATTCGAGTAACCTAGGGACTGCTATGCTTACCTTAGGCAGGATAAGGTTAATCGTAGCTAATTATCGCTAGCAAGAGCGTTCTATTACGCGTTTTTAATTACTAGAAGAAAAACCTACCGAATCGACGGTCTTCTAACCTCTTTACGCTATAAAGGCGAAGATTTACAAATCTTATAAGGGATAATAACTTCCTTAACTATAACTATCCCCTACGCGCGGTGCTAATTACGAAGCGCCTGCTAGTTTCTTAATAAATCCCTAGACGAGGTACTAACCGCGAGGCGCTTGCTATAAAAGACCTCCCTACTAGAAGAAGAATACGCCGAAAGGCAAGTAGAGACTACCGGTAGTAATCCGCCTATATAGCTATACGTATATGCCTCCGAGGCTACGGCTTAAGAGAAACGCACGTAGTTATAAGCGTTATAAGGCTAACTATCTACTAGATTCTAAACTTCTTAATAGTAAGGAGCGAAGCCTAAAGCGAGAAAGAGAGATTTACGAGAGAATCTACGGTAGAACTCTCTCCTTACTAATTCGAGACCTATATATACCTTTATACCTTTTAAGAATATTAGTAAGAATAGCGCCGACGGAAATAAACGACAAACCGACGAAAATCCCCGATTTTACGATTCTTTCCTTTTAGAATCGTAATATCCCGAATCGTCTTTTAACTCCTACTTTTAAGCCTATATCTTATACTAATCGTAGCTAACGCTATTAAGGATTAGAATTTAAGATTCTAAATAGAAGTAATCCTTTTATACTATTAGAATAAAGCGAAATTTACGAGAAGGATTGCTTATAAGCAGCGTTACTACTAAAAGCTAATTAATAGTCCTTATCTTATAGAGAATCGAAAGTATAATCGATCTAGTAGTATAAGGCAACTAGGCAATCGACCTTATAAACGCTAGCTTATAGCAACTAGGTTCCTATATAGGTTTCCTACTTGAGACCTATAAGAAGAGGAATCTTATAAGCCTTAAGCTATAGAACGAAGTTTCTCCCGATTTCGCTGACTAGTTAGAAGAAGACTTCTAGAACATACCTCCCCTAATCCTACGATTCTTTAAAGACTATTTAATCGGTAACGGCGTCTATGTCGAAATAGATAGTAAGAAAATCTCGAAAAACGTAGCATTAGCCTTTAAAAAGGAAGAATTCTACTACTAGTTACCTTAAGAACTCGAACAAGGCGTTAAGAGATATCGCAACCTAAAGGCTTTAATAAAAGACCCCGAATTCTACGAAGAGATTACGAGACCGGCAATAGTAGCTAACAGTATAGAAGGAAGAGTCGAACCAACCCTACAGCCACCTCCTCCACAAGAACAAAAACAGTGGCAACTACCGTACCGACCGCCACATCCCACGGTCTCTCGTTAATAGACTTCTAACTATACGAGTTAACAGACCGTATCGGAAAGCAATTAATAGAATTCGCGAAACTATACCCCGACGATATAAAATATAGTAGCGATATATACGATATACTCGAAAAGAAGATGCTAGTATTCGTAGATTACTATAGAATGCTAGGAATTTATACCTCTTAATATAACAAGGCACTTCCCCTAATACTAAAAGGAATAGCTAAAACCTACTTCTACGCCTCGATTAAAGTAATTAACCTATAGCCTAACTTCGAGACTATAATTAACTAATTAAAATCATACTTCGAGACTAGGGAAAGGCAATAAGCATACGTTACGTAGTAGAATATAACTACTCTTCCCTAAATCAT